GAGTAATGTGTCTGCTACTATCAAACGGGAAAATCCAGTGACACAGCTTCTCCATATTGCACCAACTTTTTAACCTCAAGGAATAAACATCAAAATAATGCTGTTTTCTTCATAAGGCAATTGAATACACTCAATAAAGCCTTGTTGCGGATCTCAATCACAATTGGAATCAACATTTTTCAGATGAATGAAAGTGTAAAGAGTGCAGAATATTTGAAGAAAAACAAAAGCAGTGTAGGCTTTGGTGGTACAATATATACATCGGAACTTTTTGGTTATCTCAAAAGAGATGAAAAATGTGGAAAACGCAATCTATTGATTTTGTAAATACGATATATTAGGAAAGTTTGAAATTTATATTTTGTATCCCTAGGATTAAGATAATCAGTTAGTTTCCTAATATCCCATGAATAATGGGATAAGGTGTAATCTAGGAGATTCTACTTTTGTGTATAAAACCCTAAGAGGGCCGGCTGTATAGAATTAATTCAGAGAATAAGAAATATTTTTTCTTCTCCTATTTTTTCACATGGTATCAGAGCCCTAGGTTTCCTAGGTTACTTTATTTTTCTTAGGCCTTCATTGCCGTTTCTTTCTTGGCTTTCATTGCCAAGCCTCATCACAGGGCCTTTATTGCCCATATCCATCATCACTCTCTCCAGAAGCCTTCATTGCTGCTGTTTTTTTTTTTTTTTTTTGAAGTTCCATTGATTTCGCTGCCGCAACTTTGACCACTGTCACTCTGTACGAAACTGTACGAACACACCAAAACTGTCGTTGCCTCTGTTCGCTGCTGTCGTGTTCTGATCGTGGCCTTCATCAGCAAAGGTTGTTTTTTCTTTTCTCTGCCCTGTCGCCACTGCTGTCAGGATGCTTCCGTAAGAGAGTGCCTAGATTGTATCAGCCTTCATCGCTGGTATTCTGTTTGACACAACCGGCCTTAATTGCCTAGAGATCGCTTGGTTTGATTGAGGATGTCGGAGGTGGTAGAGACAACCGCTACAACACGGTCGGAGGATGCAGAAACCGTTAGGCCTCAACAGGTCGGGGAATTGCAGAACATTCAGGCTGCATATAGGCTGGGTGGAAAAAAACTACCTTAAATGGTCCCAACTTGTTCGGACTGTGCTGAAAGGGAAAGGAAAAAACAGCCACCTCTTAGGGACAGGACCAAAACCAGAAGATCCACGATTTGAGGCGTGGGATGAGGAGGATTCGATGATCATGGCATGGCTGTGGAACTCCATGACTCCGGAAATTAGCGATACATGTATGTTCTTGGCCACTGCCAAGGATATATGGGATGCAATTCAACAAACGTACTCCAAGGCGAAGGATGATGCTCAAGTCTACGAAATCAAAGTAAAGACAATCGCTGCAAGCGTGGAGAAAGAACGGTCACTGAGTATGCGAATCAAATGAAGGCCATATGGCAAGAACTCGATCATTATAGGGTGATTAAAACCAAGTGTCTTGAAGATGCTGCAGTTATCAAGACCTTTATTGAGCAAGATAGAGTCTATGATTTTCTTGTTGGACTCAACCCGGAGTTTGACTTGGTGAGAATTCAGATTCTTGGAAAGCAAGAGGTCCCATGTTCAATGAGGTGGTGGCAATCATTCGGGAGAAGAGAGTAGAAGAGAAATAATGCTTGAACCAAAGAACACTGATGGCTCGGCAATGTTGGCTAGTGGCGGTAGCAAACTAGCCATGACTGTAGAAAAGGCACCGGCACTTGAGAATGTCAAAGGCTGGTCAGCAGAAGACCCAAAACCGAGACTACAAAGATACTTTATGGTGCACTTATTGCAAGAAGGCACGCCATACCCGTGAGAAGTGTTGGAAGCTGCATGGGAAACCACCAAGCCGTGAGGGGGGGCAGAAAGGAGCGCAGCCGAAAAGTCATGGATAAGCTCATGTTGCAGCAGGGCAGCAAAGTGAGGGAACACTGCAAGAGATAAGGAGTCTCAGCCAAGAGGAAATCGAACGAGTAAGATCCCTTATAGGCAATCTCGACAAACCGTCAGGTACTTGTTCATTGGCGTATTTAGGTGAGTCTTCACTTTTCATTGGATTAAATGTCTCAAATATAACCCTTACCGGCTCCTGGGTCATTGACTCTGGTGCAACCGACCATATGACCCACTCACCAAACATGTTTGCCTCATATACCCCATGTTCAAGCAGTAGAAAAATAACTACCGCAGATGGATCATTAACCACTGTAGCAGGCATAGGAGATGTTAAAATAAGCCTATCATTGACATTAAAAAATGTTCTTCATGTTCCCCGATTGACCACAAACCTTGTTTCTATCCAAAAGCTTACCAAAGATTCACATTGCAAAGTGTTTTCTCACCATAGTTATTGTTTATTTCAGGACGAAGGTTCGGGGAGGACGATTGGACGTGCTAGAGAACATGATGAACTCTACCTTCTTGAAACACCAGTCAATCGAGCATTACCAAGGGCACAACATCTCACTCTTTTGTCTCAGAAGTTCTCTCATCAAATAAAGACAAATTTTGGCTTCACCACCGCCGACTTGGCCATCCATCGTTTAGGATTATCAAAATTCTGTTTCCTTCCTTATTTGGAGGTCTAGATATTGAACATTTTCATTGTGAAGTGTGTGCACTGGCTAAACACGTGTACCTTTTCCAATCAGTAATAAAAGAAGCTCTATTCCTTTTTATCTCATTCATACTGATATTTGGGGCCCTTCTACTATTCCTAATGTGACAGGGGCAAAATGGTTTGTCTCATTTATTGATGATTGTACTCGAGTCACTTAGATATTTTTGCTTAAACAGAAATCCAATGTCAGTAATGTCCTTCCAAATTTCTGCTCTATGGTAAAGACCCAATTTGGGGTCAATATCAAGAGATTCAGATCCGACAATGCTAGGGACTATTTCAATCAAGTCCTCACTCCATATTTCCAAAAGGAAGGAATCATCCATGAATCATCATGTGTCAATACTCCATAGCAAAATGAAGTGGCAGAAAGGAAAAATGGTCATCTTCTCGATTCCACCCGATTTTTTATGTTCCAGAAAAATATGCCTAAATCCCTTTGGGGGGAAGCAGTTCTTACATCTGCACATCTTATAAATCGTTTGCCTTCTAGGATTTTGGGTTTCAAAAGTCCAATGGATGTGCTTTCCTCATTCTATCCAAATCTACGCACTACGAATAATCTAGTTCCTAGGATATTCGAGTGTGTGGCATTTGTCCATATCCATACTCCAAACAGGGGGGGAATTAGATCCAAGGGTAGTCAAATGTGTTTTTGTGGGCTATTCTTCTACTCAGAAAGGATACAAATGTTATCATCCTCCCTCAAAAAGGTTCTATCTCGGTTTATGTTACTTTCCATGAAGACAAATCCTATTTCAATGATCCTTATCTTCAGGGGGCGAATTCAATAGTGGAAGATAAGGACAGGGGGGGTTTTCTATCTCTTGATCTTCATCCATCAAAACCCAAGTTTTCCCAGCTTCACTCTCCTAAACCCGAGCCTCACTCCACTGAACCTGAACCTCACTCCACTGAACCCGAGCCTGACAACCTAAATTCTGCCATTGAGAATGTAAGATTTGGCAAAGGCAAAGTGTTTTCAAGAAGGAAGAAGGCTATCCCGGAATCTGTGCAAGTTCAAGACTCCAACCCGAGCTCTGGAAATGAGGTAACAATTTCTAATCCTTTTTCTAAAACTTACATGAATAATGATGATCAGGATCTTCCCATTGCCATTAGAAAAGGAGTTAGAGAATGTGTAAGTCGACCTCTATACCCACTTGCACAATTTCTTTCCTTTGAAAAATTCTCACCATCCCATCAAGCCTTTCTTGTCAGCCTAAATACTATTGTCATCCCTACAACCAATTTGTCTGAGGCTTTAACTGATGAAAAATGGAGACAGGCTATGAATATGGAGATGGAAGCATTGGAGAAGAACAAAACTTGGGAGCTTGTGAAATTGCCTTAAGGGAAGAAACCAGTGGGATGTAAATGGGTTTATATCGTGAAATATAGGGCAGATGGTTCAATAGAAAGATATAAAGCGAGGTTGGTTGCTAAGGGGTATACCCAGACCTATGGGATTGATTACCAAGAGAAATTCACTCCGGTGGCAAAAAAGAATACGGTAAGAGTTTTGTTATCATTAGCAGCCAATTATAATTGGGAGCTACAACAGTTTGATGTCAAGAATGTGTTTTTGCACGGAGAACTAGAGGAGGAAATCTACATGGAGGTTCCACCGGGTTATGGTCATAACTTAGCTGCACACACAGTATGTAGATTGAAGAAGGCCTTGTATGGACTTAAGCAATCGCCGCAAGCATGGTTTGGAAGATTTGCAAAGGTAATGACAGCTATGGGATATCGGCAAAGTCAAGGAGACCATACACTGTTTGTCAAACACTCATCTTTAAGGGGAGTTACAGTCCTCTTAGTATATGTTGACAACATAATAGTGACGGGAGATGATGATGAGGAAAGACAGCGTCTCAGTCGATGTTTAGCTAAAGAATTTGAGATTAAGATGCTAGGGAGGCTAAAGTATTTTCTGGGAATCGAGGTGGCTCATTCCAAGCAAGGTATTTTCACATCACAGCAAAAATATGTTACAGGTCTTCTCAAAGAAACTGGGAAGACCGCGTGCAAGCCGGCGAGCACTCCAATAGATCCAAATTTGAAGCTCAGAGAAGCAGAAGAAGATGTCGCAGTGGATAGAGAGATGTATCAACGCTTGGTGGGGAGACTTATCTATCTATCTCATACTAGACCAGATATAGCATACGCGGTAAGTGTGATTAGTCAATTCATGCATAATCCGAAGGAGGCACATCCACATGCAGCATACCGAGTATTGCAATATCTCAAAGGGACACCAGGCAGAGGTATTTTGTCCAAAAGAAATGGAGGAGTAGTGCTTGAAGCGTATACAGATGCAGACTATGCGACGGTCAACTTTCGGTTATTGCACTTTTATTGGTAGAAACCTTGTGATGTGGAGGAGCAAGAAACAGAATGTTGTAGCTCGTTCTAGTGCAGAGGCCGAATTCCGAGCGATGGCTCAGGGTGTGTGTGAATTGCTATGGTTGAAGATTATTTTAGAAGATTTGAAGATTAAGTGGGATGACCCAATGAGACTCTACTGTGACAACAAATCTGCAATCAGCATAGCTCACAACCCAGTACAGCACGATAGAACAAAGCACATCGAAATCGACAGACACTTCATCAAAGAGAAGCTAGACAGTGGCCTAATTTGTACACCCTACGTATCTACACAGGGTCAACTTGCTGATGTACTCACGAAAGGACTTAATAGTTCAGTGTTTCAGAATCTTGTGTCCAAGTTAGGAATAGTGAACACTTGTTCACCAGCTTGAGGGGGAGTGTGGAAAACGCAATCTATTGATTTTGTAAATAGGATATATTAGGAAAGTTTGAAATTTATATTTTGTATCCCTAGGATTAAGGTAATCAGTTAGTTTCACGATATCCCATGAATAATGGGATAAGGTGTAATCTAGGAGATTCTACTTTTGTGTATAAAACCCTAAGAGGGCCGGCTGTATAGAATTAATTCAGAGAATAAGAAATATTTTTTCTTCTCCTATTTTTCCACAAAAATTTTGTAATTCTTTTGTAATTCTTTTTTTTCCCCCCTCAAAATATTGTTTGTGATGCAAGGGCTTTTTAAGTGGCAGATAACACTAGACAATTAAGATTTACTTACGGCAAGAATCACAGGGAACGTATGCATCAAATGAGAGATCTCTTATGCATCCTTTAGCAGCTTCAGAAAAAGATAGGGATAACTCCGCCTATGAAAAGACACATCAAAGTTGCGACAATCATTTACTATGAAATACCAATAACTAAGTCATTAGGCATCTGAAAGCCTGAGGAAAATCAAGCAAACCTGAATATCAGATGCAAAACGATCAAAGTTATCTTCAAAGATCTGCAGTGTCAGGTAAAAATTCAATATTAAGAAGATTCTATCTTTTATTAAGACATGAGAATACACTGATAAAAGATAAGAAGGTACAATACCTCAGAGAATATTTTATTGAATGAACTGGAGAAATGAGTTCCATATTCAAAACGAAATCCCTGTGGACCAGAAGAATAATGAAATCCCTCTGTATCACCAGCATCATATTTTGCCTTTTCTCTACCAGTTGCACGCATCTACATTGAAACAAGCATATCAGGAAGGGAAAAAAGGAGTGTCATGCTAAATTGATGCATTTATAGGAGAGACAGGCTTTTAATTGCAGAAACTTTAAATTCTTAATGACAAAAGTGCCAACATCCCAGTACCACGAGCATGCACATCCAAGTAGTTTTCTTTAAAAGTACAAAAACAAACCCGTGTCTCAATTAGAATATCTGCAGAATTCATGGTGATTGGATTTGTGTAATTATGATCATAAAGACTCGTATACAACAAATAGAATAGCAAACAAGGTATCATGAAAAGATATAAGAATGAATGTTCCCAAAGAGGATGAGCAATAAAAATAACTAAACTAGCAACAGTTAAGAGAGAGAGAGAGAGAGAGAGAGATTGCTACCCTGTCATATTCGGCCCTCTTCAAAGGATCTTGCAAAGTCTGGATTGTACCAAGAGCAAATGAAATAGTCATAAACATTAAGGAAAACGGTTGCAGATATACATGCATGTGCATGTAAAGAAGCATAGCAACATCATTATATCATTTGAACCTTTAATTCTTAAATAATATGGCATGATTTTCAAATATCCTAAAATGTTTGATCTACCATTCAAAATGTTTCGGAATTACAACAAAACAACTCTGCTCTCTAAATAGATTTGTGACTTAATTGAAACAGCGTGTTTATGTACAATGAGTTTTGAAATCCCCAAGAAGCACTATTTTAAAAGTGAAATCATAGATATCTAAGGTTAGGTCGTTTTTAAGACCCTTTTTATTCTAATTTTTTATCTGTTATTTTGAGATGTAGTACAAAATTCAAGAGAATTCAGCTAGCTTTTATCCTGATATCCAGGTTACTGAAGAAAAATATGTTTACACAATATGAACTTGTTATTAAAGTAGCTATTATAGTAACATATACATCTGAGGTGCAAAAATAGATAGGCAGATACATCATTTGTTTTCTTCCAAGTTTTATTGCATTTATGTATATTAAAATATCTTCCAACAGAACTTTCTACAAACATATTTTGCTCACTTCTTGTGCAACTTTCTAGGTTTTTCTTTTAACTCATTGTCCAAACAAAACCAAGTGAGGGATACATATGCACAACGAGAAAAAGAATAGGACCTCATACGCATCTCTTATCTCCTGAAATTTTCTCTTTGCAGAAGGATTGTTTTTATTGGCATCGGGATGGTATTTCTTTGCAAGCTGCATAAAAAATTTGAACTCAACAACCTTGAATGGAGAACAAAACATATATACAGCAGAGATGCCATTAAAACAGTCGTATAATCCCACATAAATACTTTAGAATGATTTCAACTGCATAAAACAGTTAGCAGGACGATGACAAGACTATTTCATACTGCTGCCAAAAATTAAGGGTCTTGCCCTTTTTCGAGAAAGAATTCTTCAATTGCTACGAAGGCTGGTGCAAGTTAAACCAAAAAACAGAACATATGCAGCATTTATCCAGAACCTTATACACCCTTCACATCAAACTTAGGGTCCGTTCTTTTCGCAGGTTTGAGTTGAGAACTTGAGTTAAAAAGTGAATTTATGTGAGAGAAAACACTGTAACAAAATAGTTGAATTCAAATTTTTGCGAGAGAAAACACTGTAGTAAAAGTTTGAATTGTGACTCGAATTGTGAAAGGAAGAGAACCTTAATCAGATATCCAACACCTGAATAAGTATATAGATTAAATTAAAGGGACAAATCGAATAATCAAAATACTGAAATACTAGCAACACCATTGTGGCATTTTCAGCAAACAGGGTAAACAGGAGAATAATTTCTGAACCAAGCTATCAATGGATGCAGAATTCCCTTTAAAGCAACAGAAACATGAAATAGGTCGGATCAAAAACACAAAGATCTAATCATCTGAGTGTCAAAGAAAACTGGATGTAAAACATGAAGATAAAACCCTCCTTCTTGTAACTACATAAGTTTCAACGTATACACTCACAACATGAAACGCCTTTTTTATCTCATCTCGGCTCGCATTTCGAGGAACTCCAAGAATTTCGTAGTAGTCTCGTTCTGGGGAGCAAGAGAACCCTGCAAACAGAAAAACATAGTAAGAACAACTTAAAGAGAAAGCATCAATACACTAATACACATACACACAGTATATAGATATATAAATGTGTATATGTATATACATATAAACAACTTTTTTCTAGTAAACCTGAAGCATGTATATAACGTTTTCCAAATGAAGCAGCAAAGTCCGCAGGTCCACCATAGACAGAACCGAAACAGTGCAGAGCTGAAATAAATACAAGAAACCATATAATTCAATTATAATTGTTTATACTACCAATTTATAAATAATAATTGATCGATAAAAATACCTATTTAGCTTACCTCGATCGCGAAACGAGTTTTCGAGCAATGCGGGAGTTCTGTCGAGCAAAACTCCGAGTGAAGTCGGCGACTCCGCCGCCATGGACGACACCAAATGTCGGCGACACTGCATCAAAACACATCAGTAGGGGAAAAAATGCATTTTTTAAACGAAATTATCAAAGAAAATGGATTGATCGTCGAAGCTAATTTGGTTCACCATGCCAATCCAGCTCAGTTTGCTCATTTCCAAGAAAAAAATATTTTTCCGAATATACAGAGTCAGTGGAAGAGCGAGAAACGAAGCGAAGAACGCAGAAGAGGATAATGAGAAATCGGAAAATTTGAAAGATTTCGGTGGGCTCCGGTGGCTTCTTCTTCAGTTCAGAGGATTTTTATTGGGGTTTTTCATTGGGGCTCAAGAAACGTCCCGACGACGTCGTTTCTAAATATTCTTTCCTTTCCCCCAAAAAAGCGTATTTATTTGTCGAAAAATCAAAAGCGTTTCTGTTTCTAGTACTTTCTATGGCAATCCGCTCCGTCGTCGTCAAGCTTCGACCCGAAGCGGCTTATCCTCTGTGGAGATCCTTGCGCTCGTACGCTGGTCCGTCAATCAGAGCCGTCGATGAAGAATTCAACACGAAGACGAAAAGCCACGAACTTGAGAGAGAGATTCTGAAGCTGAAATACCCCAGGGACTGTGCGACCACGGTGCTTCGGAGTTCGGCCGATAATGGCTACAAGGTTTCCTTTCTCGAGCTCCGTCGCTTCTCCGTTCGCCTCTTGAAGCTCAAGCGCCACAACCACGCTCTTCAGGTCAAATTGTTTGATTTTCTCTTTTCTTTCTTTTAACACTTTGCCTGAAAAACCATTTCTGTATTTGCTTGTTCATTCAATAACATTACTTTTGATTTAAGGCCTAATTGTTGAATGTAGAATCTTTCACAATGTGTTCAAGAATTTGGCACTGTTTCGGTTCAATAATGAAAAATTTGCCGCCAAAATTATAGTATTTGCCAATTAACTCACTCAAATGCCAAAATTTGACATTGGCACATCAATTTGACATTGCATTAGAGTTGCTCTTACAGGAATACTATGGCGATAATTCATTATCATTCTCACTATTCTCAGATAAAAGCGTGAATTGAACATTTTCATCATCAAAGTGATGTTCCAATTGCTAATTCTAACATAGTTACTGCAGTATTAAGTGAAGAAGATTGTCTTTTTGAACAAACAGATAATGGAGTGGTTGGAGGGTCAAAGAAGGTTCCAGATGTCGCCGGCGGACCACGCCGTTAAGATGGAGTTGATCATCAAAGTGAAAGGTCTAATGGAGGCTGAGGACTATTTCCAGAATGTGTCAGACACTGCTTCGCTGAAAGTGGCTTGTTGTCCGCTTCTCCGAGGTTATGTTGAGGGAAGGGACACTGAGAAAGCCGAGGCATTCATGGCGAAGTTGAACGGGTTGGGGCTGATTGTGAGCCCACATCTTTGCAATCAAATGATGAAGCTGTACATGGCCACATCCCAGTTTGGGAAAATGCTTCTTGTCATACAGGAAATGAAGAGAAATAGAATACCGTTGAATGTTATGTCCTACAACCTTTGGATGAATGCCTGTGGGGAGATATCGAAGGTCGAGTCAGTCGAGATGGTTTACGCAGAGATGATGAGAGACAGCGGCGTTGAGATTGGCTGGGGGAGATGGTTTACGCAGAGATGATGAGAGACAGCGGCGTTGAGATTGGCTGGAGTAGTCTTTGCACTCTAGCAAATGTTTATGTGAAAGCAAGGCAGTTTGAGAAAGCCAGTTTGGTGCTCAAAAGTGCTGAGCAGAAACTATCTAGCTGTAATCGTCTTGGTTATTTCTTCCTCATAACGCAGCATGCTTCTTTGAAGAATAAGGACGAAGTTCTTAGGCTGTGGGAAGCAAGTAAAGCGGTGGACGGGAGAATCACCTGCGCGAATTACATGTGTGTCTTGTCGTGCTTGGTCAAATTGAGTGATCTTGTTGAAGCTGAGAGAGTGTTCAGGGAATGGGAAGCGAGTCGTGGTAAGTATGATGTTAGAGTCTCGAATGTGCTTCTTGGTGCGTATGTGAGGAATGGACTGATGGACAAAGCTGAATCTTTACATCTCCACACAATGGAGCAAGGCGGATGCCCGAATTATAAGACATGGGAGATTCTTATGGAGGGGTGGGTGAAAAGCCAAGAGATGGAGAAAGCGGTTGACGCCATGAAGAAAGCATTCTCTATGTTGAGAGATTGCCATTGGAGGCCATCAGATGGTATTGTGTTGGCCATTGCTGATTATTTTGAGAAAAAGGGGGATGTTGAACATGCTCTTTGCTATGTTAAGACTACCCATGATTTGGGTTTTGCAAGTTTGCCATTGTATAAGTCTTTGCTTAGGATGCATCTTTGTTCTCAGAAACCAGCATTTGACATCCTCAAAATGATGGAGAAGGATAAAATTGAAATGGATGAAGAGGCGTATGACCTCATTCAAGCCGTTAAGGAGTGTTAAACTCGGAATTGCATGATAAATTCATATTGTCATGGCCAATGGGTTAAAACAATCTCATAGATCGTGGACGCGCTGTCATGGGATCACAATTTATAAGAGACTCCTTACAGAGGATGATCAGACATAAAATACATCAGAAGTTCGTTTTCATTCAGGGAAGTTTGTTCTTTGTTAAGTCGGGTGAAATAAAAGCTTATCTTGATGACTAATCATTATGAGATCGGAAATAAAGAGGATAAAGAAAAGCGAAGTTGTGCAAAAGTGTCACTGCTAGGTGACATTGCCGTTTTATTTAGATATGACATCATGAAGAGGCTCAAGGTCGACATCTTTCAATAACAGAGAAATCACTTTTTCCTGTGAATCATGCTGCAGAAACAAATGAGGGATTCGTCGTATAAAATTTCAAGATGATCTAGCGGCTGAAATTTTATGAACGTTTTTGCAGTGCTCGAGGTATTTATCTCCCGATGGCAAGCATTCCTTGAAGATGGGAACCTCAAGAACACGCTCCAACCAAGCATTGAGCAGAGGCATGGTCTCTGCATCAATCAGGTGCACATCCGCAACTTCCTCGGTTATTCTGCCCCATAATCCAATCCAACCAGCAGCAATGTCCACAAAGCCCACAATTTCGCCTCCGAAGAATTGCTTTTCCCCAAGACCACTCTCTAGGATCTTCAAATTCTCACGAGCTTCTCTTGCAGCCTTATCTTTCTCGTCGCCTGTCTTGGAGAATGCACTTATCATTGCCGGTACACACTGGAACAAACAATACAACACATCCAAAAAATTTTCATGATTCATTCTCTAGTGCTGAAAATCTCAAACTTCTTGTAAACTTTATGGAAGTAAACTCACCCTTTTGTTGATTATATCTTAGTTTCAAAGACAAACTTGTTTTATAAACTTACCTTATCGTCGACAAATTTGGCCCAGAATCGAGCTACAGCTCTTTCATATGGATCTTTGTGGCAGGACCGGGTTTTGTTCCCATGTCTCGTCGATGTACTCCATTATGACAAGCGACTCCGCGAGAGGCTTGCCATTATGTACAAGAACAGGAACCTTTTCATGCACTGGGTTGTACTTCAACAACAAGGGACTCTTGTTTGGGAGATGCTCTTCCAAGTACTCGTATTCGACCCCTTTCAGTTTCAGAGCCCAGTGAACTCTGATGGAAAAAGGACTTCCCCAGTACCCCAAGCAACTTCACAGAGTCGCTGGCCATAGTTAATTTCTATACGTTTCCGCTGCCTTTTGTTCTCGGCAAATACGGCAAATTTATACAAGGATTACATACATGTTGGACCAAAAGACTTTTGGTTCTCTTTTATCTGGTCAGGACCCCACGAAAGCCACTGAGATGGACTTTTAAGGCAGATATTTTCCAAGAATAACGAAATGTCTTCAACAGTCGCATTCCACGCTAGAAAGTTTCTGCACTTGATGCATTTAGGAACCCAGTGGCGACTATCTCCTTCTACCAAAATGTTAAAGTTCGTGTTTAGAATTGATCATGTTTTTATTTTTTATGTTTTTAAAAAAAAAATAATAACGTTTTCAAAACGGTGTTTGGCGTAATAAAAATAAAAAATATAAATGAAAATAATTTTTTAGTTTAGTGTAAAATGAGAGATAAATGAAAAACGACTTTTAATCGTTTTTCATTTTTTATTTTCGTTTTCTCATATCTCGAGCAGAGAGAGAAATAGACATTAATGAGTTTTTTTACATTGAAAATAAAACTACTAAACGCATTTTTAAAAATAATTTCTGTTTGAGATTGAAAATGTTTTCATTTTTATTTTGCATATAAAAAATAAAAAATTATTTTAAAATGAGTTCTAAATGCGCTCTAAGTTCTCTGCATTTTCCCTTACGTTTTGCAAACAGTTAGAACGTATCCCTGCATTTTACAAATGGTATTAAAAAAAATAAGAACCTTCATTCTGGAAAGTATTTATCATGTTAAGAACATCGGCATCCTTTTGGGGGAGTCGTTAACATGACTTTAAAATGTAGAAGATAAATTTATTTATCAAAAATAGGGTGAAACACAAAATTTCAATAACACCGCATTTTATTAAAACACTAGTTGAAGCCACGTGTGAGGCATAATGTGAGAATTAATTGTTGAATTTTGAATTTTTGAATTACTGCAAAGTGTTTATTTAAAGATGAATTTTGAGTTCTTGAATTTTCATTTTAAAAATATAAATTTATATTTTCATTTTCATCAAAAATTAATCATGAGAAAAAAAAAATGAAATCGTTTTTTAAACATTATAACGCTATGCTGTTATTTATCAATATTCTAACATTACTTAGGTATAATCGATGTATTTAAAAAAATAAAAAAAGAAAGAAAAAAGTTACCATATGCCACCATTATGCTAGCATGGAAAAGAAAAGGGAACCAATTCAAGGTGAAAAGTGAAAACCAAGCTAGGAGAAAAATCAACAAAAAGTTGCATGTACATAGAGAAGGAATGCTAGTAAGCAAAAAATTACATGAAAGTATCTTATATTTCTTTAGAGAGATGATAAATTTAAGGATTTCAGTACAAATAACCTTAAAAAATATTTTTCATAAATGGCCGAAATTTTATAAAATTATAAAAATAACCCTTTTTATTATCATAGTGGTCAATCATTGATATACTCAGTGACTAATCACTAATAGACTCAGCGGTCACTCATTGATTAACTCAATTATTTTTTATTATTAATTAAAATTAGTTAATAATTAACTAAAATTAAGTTGTAATTTATCAATTTCAATCAACAAATTACATGTTTAATAATGATAAACTATAGATAAAATAATAATGAATCGGTCAACCATTGAATGGTCAATAAGTCAATCATTGATTAACTCACATAAACATAATTGTCATTTTTGTAAAATAAAAAAAGTTCAGCCATTTATTAAAAGAATTGGTTAAAAAATGCCACCCAGACCAATTTCTCATGAATTTATGAGGATCGAAAATAAGAGATGAATCAAATCTTGCCTATTAACACAAGTAATAACCATTAACACAACCTGTGCGAGAATTTCTTCGTTAACATAATTTTTAAGAAGTGAAAACAAGAGGTTAATCAAATCTTGGAAGTGAGGCTGCCTCTGCTAAAAGAATGGCAGCTGACATGAAATCAAAGTGGGATAGCTAAAATTTTCTCAACTTTCTTGCTTAGTATGCAACGCCAAAGAAACTATGCAAAAAGAAGCCATTTGCAAATTGCAATTTTCTTGTTTTTTTCTCTATTTCCATGTCCAGTTTGAACATTACGAAAGAAAATAAATTATCAAAAAAACAAAAAAAAAGTATATACGCCTCCTTGCAAGACATTATTGCAAGATATTCTAGGAAGTAGGAAATGTGCACCCCTCAGACTACTGGAAATATTCAGCAAACACTATCCTTTTAACGTTCTCTGAAATCATTTGCTTCCAATTACTTTACTGTAATGGACAAGCAGAATATCTACGAAAATTTATTCCACTATATCATTATTTTTCCTAGTTGATAGTATCACCCATAGGGTGACGAGCACAACTCATTCTTGCGCGTGCGTTGACAAATAGCTGTAGAAAACTACAACACAATTTGGCTTGGTTTCGCTCACCTCATTGAAACGAGCAATAGGAAAACAAAACTTTTCTCCCCAGAGAAAATCCCATCAAGGATGGAGATCTATAGCGCGTCTCAAAGACCAAATGGCCATCATTTTTTAGGCCAAACTTGTGTTTCATACGCCTTAATTTACTTTAGGGATGACAAGGCCAACGCCACTTTTCGAGATATGCGATCATGTATGGGTTCCTGAATGAAGAAACAAGAATTATGTTACTGTGAGATTTGTGAGAATGACTGCTTTTCGCTTCCAAAATCAACTTATGCTTGTAGCAAAAGCTGATTTTAATGTTTAGTAAATCTCCTCAAAAGTGTTTTTTGAAGAATTTTTAAAGAATCTACCGCTAAAATCAGAAACAGCCCAAATGCAACTTTAGCTTTTAAATTGTGCGGAAATCAACATAGTACAATTAATAAAACTTTCATAATACTCATAATACCGCTAATGAAATTTAAAATTTACAATCTTCCCAATCTAAAATTCAGACTCGTAATATAATACAATATAATATAATAATACAATAATATAATATAATATAATATAATAGTAATATTGTAACAAATAATATCATAATTATATTAATAACTCTAATATTATTATTTTATCATATTTATATAATATATTAATTATAATATATTTGTTTAATATAATATAATAATGATTATATATTATATTATAATATAATGTAATCATAATTTTTAATTATTTCAGTTATTATTTTAATAATATTATTATATTATATACCATAATTATATAATATATTATATAATAATAGTTTTTTATTATATTAAATAGAATAATAAATATATATTATATTGTAATTATATATATTATAGTATAATATAATATAGTCGTAATTTTTAATTATCCACAACAATTCAAACTCATAAATTATCAAACACTATTACACTGATTTTGGAACCAGCACAGCTACTATAATTATAGTTTACCAAACACTTAGTTGATTTTTGTAACAGCTGTTTTTTCTTTCAGCACAGCTAAAAGCAATTTTTTCAAAATCTACAGTAATACCAAACTAAGCCATATCTAGTTAACATGAGATTTACCTCTGTTGATGGCATCTTAAATTTGAATTTTGTTATCGTCTCGTACAAGAAAATATACCTGTAGTCCATGAAGAACATCGGCATTAAATGAAGCACATCCTATTATTTCATACAAGTTGAATAAAGTTAAACATCCTAAGTTCCTAACAATCATTTTCTCTAGAAAACAATAATGCAACATAAGACCAGCTTTACAAAACAATTGGATAATGACGAGCAAAAACATCTTTCACACAACTACAAACCAAAGTAAAAAAGGCCATTATGTGTCCATTAGGAGGTGCAACTCAAAAAGAATGGCCAAATAAGAGCCTAATGCCTTTCCAAGAACCAATTCTTAATTAAATTTATCTTTGCGTATTCAGTTGATTTTATATCTCAAAACAGATCACCTTTATAAACTTCTGGGAAGTAAGTAGGCTTCTTCTGACACACATGAGCTTAAGGACCGAACAATATTCTTAAACCGACAATAATATAGCATTCACATATCAGAATTTATCTACGCACAGACAGGGACTATCCAGGTAAGCAACAGCATACAATCAACAATGCTCTCTTATAGGGTGTAAGAAAAATGTTGGGGGCACCATTACTAATAGAAGGTAAACCCCACACGTGGGTCCCATGCTGCAGGACCCACCTTCTATTGGTGGGTGGCTGTGCCTTATAGCGTTATTCGAAGTGTGATGTAGTTGGATAATAAACCTAAGCCTATAAAAGAAGGTACTTTAACATGACATGGGGCACCATTTGTAGAGTAGTGCGTGATAATGGCTCATCAGCCTTGAGCATGGTCACAATTTCTGACACAATACATGATCACAATGGCATCAAATTAAATTCATAGTTACAAATTATGAACAAAGGGTGTGATGAAATGAGCAATATACCGCCAAGCTAGTTCAGAAACAAGTTCTTCAGGAGCATCAGGGAGGACCTAAACATTGGATCATCTCGGTAAGATTTTATATTTTCACATGAACAAACACAGAAACATAAATAAATAAATAAATAAGACTGCAACAAATGTAATAACCTTATCTTTGTATGGATCGCAGTGATCTTTGAACCATAACCTCAGGAACTCCTGATGAGTAAAGAAAAGCAAAAGGTAAAGACCGATCACTAGAAAGTTTCAGGCAGTTGGCGAAACATCTATGGTTGAAGAATTAAGTGCGCTCAAAGACAGAAGAAAATCATCCAAGAACTTTTACCAAAGGATATACATGCAAAAGCTAGTGTAAACAGAGATAACAACCACGATACAACAAGAAATACACCTTATCAACATTTTCAGGCTCAAGACCATTCTTAAAACGTTCCTCATAAGAATGTGCAATCCAATATCTGCTTGAATCAGGCGTATGCACCTAAATTAAAATATCAAATATATTATTACCAGTATTTCATATGAATGTGTTGGAGAGAGAGAGAGAGAGAAAGAGCAAGTAATACATTAAGGATAATAGAGCTAAACCTCATCAATCAAAAGAATGGAACCATCACGTCCCTTTCCAAATTCATATTTGGTGTCAACTAATATCAAGCCATGTTCCCGAGCCACACGCTGCAACAAGAAACAGACGGTAAAGCTACCTGCCTCTCTCTCTTTCGAATAACTAGTTCACTTGATAGATGCTTTGCAAAAAATTTAAGAGTGGAAAAACATCTTGGAATTCTGGATACTTGTCCATATTCGAATAAGCTTAATGCTTTCCTACTTGCTTCCTCATAATCCGCTTCAGTCATCAGTCCACTACTAATAATCTGCAAGGAAAATGCTTACATAAGCCAACTAAGACAGACTGTTTCACATATCCACAAATAGTGTGTGCGCACATGCCTGTACATGTAAACATATGCCTAAAGATATATTTCTTCCACTCAATCCTAACAGCACGTTGGCAGTACTAAAGTTCTGATCATGGTTTCATTTTCAAGGAGTTTATGGCTTCACTCACACATAAGTATAGTACGATATCAAACAAAGGAACAGCTTTATCGAATCTCAGAAAACTCTTGCCTAATCAGATTTTCACTTTTTCAATGTATTGGAGACTTTATCAAACTGACATCAATAGCCCCTCTATTTTTGTATCCCTCTTTCCTTTCTTCTCTCGTAAGCCTCAACTGTGAGAACTAGAAGACACGCGATCACAGAGGCCAAGAACAATTCTACTATTGTTTTGCTTGAAAGAAAGGACAATTTTACATGATATATAATGTATTAAAACCTCATCTGGAGTCACGGGAACATCATGATCTGCAGCCTTAGTTGTAGGTGTGAGGATATTTGCAGGAAGCTTTTGGTTTTTTACCAATCCTACAAGAACAAAACACCGTCAGATGAATCCATTTATTTTCTTGTATTGTTTATTATGATTGATCTGTAGTTCAAGGAGAAAAAAAAAACAAAACAAAAAAAAAAAAAAAAAAAAAAAAAAAACAAAACAAAACAAAAGACCACAGGAGGATCTTACCTTCTGGAAGTGCATTGCCACAATAATTTCGAACACCTTTCTTATAGACCGTCCATAACGACGTATCAGTGCTTCCAGTTACATAACCTCTAACTAGAAATTTGCAGACAAACTGTGTTAATTTAAGAGTTGGTGACTTGAAGTTGTAATCATAATAAAATTCCATAGAATTGCTAGAAATTACAATTGAATATTTATATTTGTCATACCACTATACTCTAGGAAAGTATCATTTCCACTAAAACTTTAAAGTTTTCCTTCACTTAATGATGCACTAGTTTATAGATAAATGATAATCCTAATTCTAAACACATTCAAATTCTAAAATGATAAATCCAAAATAAAATTAAAATATAAAACTAAACTAAAAGATAAATCCTAAACCTATTAACATCCATAATTCAAATCCTATCCTGCATCACTTAAAGATAACGATACTACCAAATTCCAATCATTCTAAAAGTGACGTAGCTTAAGGAAAGAGAGAGAGAGAGAGAGAGAGAGAGAGAGAGAGAGAGAGAGAGAGAAGAAGAAGAATGAAAAGAAAAGACGAAATAAAAATTCAATGATATCATACCTACGAACTCAACGGGAAAAACTGAGCATTTCTTTGCAATTGTCACATTCTCATCGGGTGCTAATACAACTGCATTTGGAGTTATGTGTAGAGTATTGTCAAACCACCATAAACTTGCTTGGTTAAGAACCTGAAAGAGAGAGAGAGAGAGAGAGAGAGAGAGAACGTATATGACGAATTAGCATCCTATTTATATAATATATACCCAATATGGAAGGCATGAAACCATTTTGTTCTACTAGAACTAAAGGGTCAAACCAATCCCAGCAAACATGGTATCTAGTATTTTTTTTATATCAATTTAACCAAATATAAAAACTTTGCTTCTCTATTATGAATTCAACCAACTTTAAAAATAAATTAAAATTAAATTAAATTAAATTATAAAAAAAAAAAAAAAAAAAAAACTAGGGTGAGAATGACCTGGCCTTTGAACGGGATGGAAGCGAGAATTCTGTCGAAAGCACTCAGCCGATCCGTCGTGACCAAAACCAGATAATCACCACTGTCATAAATATCTCTAACCTGCAAAATAATAATAACAATAACAACAAATAAATAAAAATAAACTCAGTTTTTCCTCAAAAGCACTTCAGAAAATGCGAGGAAAGAAGATTAACGAAACCAAAAAAAGGCATCTTTAATTGCATTATCAGTCTTAGGGTTTACCTTTCCTCTGGTTTTGGACTTGAGACCAGGGACGGTGAGTTGCAAATTGGTTTCGGAGAGACAATAGGCCAAGGACTTTGTGATGGCACCAAAGAGCTCTTCTTTACGAGGGCCATTGCCGAAAGCATCCAAAGTCAAAGGTTTCTGGTCTCGCCGTTGATTTTGGTCCGCCATTATCGACAGAGAAACGGTCGATAACTTCTTGGAATTGGATTTTGTGGTCGTGGTGAAATGAGGGATTGAAGAGAGAAGGGTATTACGAATTGGGAATTTGGGTTTGAGGGTTTTGGGAGGGTTTAAGCCACGCGTAGACTCCGCCATTGTTTTCTGGCCCCTTTGTTTCTCTCACTTCACCTCCAACTTTGGCGTTCTTACTAGTAATAGTGGCGTATAAACAACAGCGGTATTTGGACGACAAGAACTAAAGAACTGCATCATCTTTAAAACGACATCAAATTGGAGCCCAACGAAATAAGAAAGCGATAGCAGCAGCTGGGAGAATCACTGGGCCTTGGGAAATGACATCAAGGAATTAAACAACACTACTCTGATTCAGATCGGAAAAATAATAATAATAACAAATAAATAAATAAAGAGAAAACAACTAATCGGAAATGACAATAATATTAAAAAAAATAAAAAAATAAAAGACAATGTATGAATGACAATAACTAAAAAACGACATCAAGTGGTAAAGCACAACGGGCAGAGAAACAACAACAAAATGAAATAAACGTTGTCAACGTGAGAACGACAATATTAAAGCGATATCAACCGTTGAGAACGTTGCACGCTTGCGGCCTATAAAGTTAAAGAATTAAGAACGTTTCTCTGTCACTCTCTGTTCCCCCAATATTTTTTACGCATCAGCTCAATTAGAAAATCACTAACATAACAAAAAAGAAATCGTTACCAATTTTCCCTTAAAAAAAATGTCTAAGCTTGACTGGACCAAAAGGCACATTTCAACCAAAGTGTGTGTTTTGATCGAAAGTACTGCAGTCGCTACAATACACACTTTAAAATTTATTGGTAGGTATAGATAATGTCTATCCACTTCTATAAGGAAATGGTTTAACTTAACTAATTGAGTGGGTTCTCAAATAGAGGCATTGATATATATCAAATGTAATATGTATTCGATTGTATCTAAAGTGAAGTTGATGTATGTAACAAGTTTAATTAAAAACTAAATTCACTTTGATAAACATTTTTACACGGATATCTTAATCTTGAGTGAATGAGTGATTGCATATTTGTAAGTTGTGTGTTTTGATATATTAAAGAGTGAGACTCGTAATGGTGTGGTCACCCACCTCACACGTTAAATGCACATGCCATATATGGTAATAATATTCTTCATGCTTATGAAACTCGTAACTCTTTTTTAAAAAGTTAATGATATATTATTAAATCATTATTTGGGAATTGAATAACATTATTAGAATCTCTATTTAGTTTAGGACGTTACTAAATGATTTTCTATTTTTAAGATTTTTATAAATAAGGTTCCCTAAGAACAGAGAAAGCTTTAAGATTAAGATAATATGATATGGCCATCTTATGAAGGTGTCATATATACAATGATACATAATGGACAAAGGCAATTTTTTGAGCTTTCATAAATTGATGTATAATTCAAATTTAGATGTTTTGCGTAATAAAAGTGAAGTTTGACGATTTAATGGATAAATTAATTTAAGTTACTTACTGTATGTAGTTTGAATATATATATATGTATTAGTCCATTTGCTCGTTCAAATTTTTTTTTTTTTTTTTTTTTTTAAAACGACCATCGGTAATTTTTCCATATTTGGGACAAGGAGGTTACACAACCTTAGTAGAGATGCAAGTTTGATTAGACTAAAATGGATTTGCTCGAAATTCCGTCATTGTTGGATCCTGACTCAAACATGACCGATCGTATATACTTAGGTCTAAAAACTCTTATTTAAATTAAGGCATCGTTCGTTTTATTGATTCGAGTTTAGAATTTGAGTTTTGCTACAGTAAAAAGCTCTCACAAACAGTCACATCTAACTTTTTTGCTATAGTAAAAAGCTCTCACATAAAATCACATCTAAACTCGAATCAGCGAAACGAACGAGGCTTATTTTTTTTAAAATTCATCTTATAGAGTGCATTTGGAATGGAGATTCGTGCCATAATTCAAATAATGGTTCATGGCTCGCTACAGTATATTTCTCACAAAAAACACACGTAAAACGAGAATGATTCTGAATCATAATTCTGAATTCATGAACCAAACGTCCCCATAAAGATTCTGTCATTCCTTAACCCGTTAAAGAATCAGAAAAGTATTATCACACCATCTACAAGGAGATTTTTGCGGTAAAGTATGAAATTCAAAAGTTCAATTTCCGTCTTCGAGGTTATAATTTTGAGGTCCGAATAGATAATTCACCATTCCCTAAAGTCCTTAATTTTAAAAATAAAATTCTACCTGATTTGTAATTACTCAGACTTAAAAATTAATTTATCAGATATGACTTTTTTATAAAATATATAAAAGAACCGATATTCTTCTATTTAGAATCAGCGCAGCCGATTATTTTAACCCCAAAGTGCCCTTTCAAACCGTTAGGCCACGAGGTCCAAGCATTCAGCTCTAATGTTAAGTTGTCCCTCTCGAAACAACGGCTCATAGTAGGAGAGGTTTTTCTTAAAAAAAATTATTTAATTATTTGAGGCGTGCAATAAAATTATAAAATACATGAGGTCTTATCATATGAAGAACCAAAAGGATACGCGATGAAAGCATGAACTTAGAAGTACGAACTCTCAAATTTTGGACCACACGGAAATTGCATGAACATGATTGATTGCTTGCTGCAAGCAAGTATTCTGTAGAGCATAGTAAACAAATAAGATCGTACGATTACCAACAGATTCAGACAGCGTGTCACAATCAAACTCCACCGTCCGATGCACATCACTCTTTCTGCAGGTGTACATGGATGATCGTGCCCAACCAGACCACATATCCCTTCACGTGCGTCAGAGAAAATGAAAGCTCTTGTCGTCCATCAGTCCCTGCTTTACACGCCAAACACTTTTGGCGTAAATCCCAATTAGTCAAAAGTCAAGTAAAGTTGACCTCATGATTTCACCAAATGGTTATTTTATTTCGCTGGACCTTTGAATATTTGCCGTGGTACCGCGCGCGCCTGATCATAGCTCTAGAGCTTCGGGTTCACACCGTACGCGTAAATACGGACACGTCGGTTAGGTAAAAAACGAGGCAAAAAGAGAACTTATATTTATTTACGTCGCTCATATAAATTTTTAATTTAAATAAAAATATAATTTTATATGAGAATTTTAAATTATAGTAAAAAAATTAAATATAATTATAATAAAAATTAAATTTTATTAAATTTATTGATTTAAAATTTTAATTAAAATTAAAATATAATTTTATGTGATAATTTTTTATTATAATAAAAAATTATCACATAAAATTATATTTTAATTTTAATTAAAATTAAAATATAATTTTATGTGATAATTTTTTATTATAATAAAAAAATTATATATAATTATTTTTGAAAATTTTCACTCTAATAAAATTTGAAGAAGTGAAATGAATCATAACTTAAATTTAGGAGACGTTTAGTTTATAGTGTCAGAATTATAATTTAAAATTATTTTTATTTTACGTGTATTTTTTATAAGAAAAAATACTATAACGAATTATAAATTATAATTCGAATCTCTCTCTCATAAAGACGTTTAGTTTATGTATTTAGAATTATAATTTAAAACTATTCTCATTTTACGTATATTTTTTATAAAAAAAAATACTATAAAAAATTATGAATCATGATTTAAACTCAAAGACGAATATAGAAAACAAACCTCCAGCAAAACCCCAAACCTCTTTTTATTTTCTCTCTCTTCATCTTTCTTTTTCGTCTCTCTCTCTTGTTTGGATCTTTCTTTTTCTCGTCTCGTCTCTCCTCACGGGAAAATCTTTTCTCCCCCAATTCTGTGAATGCCAGATTTCTAGGGTTTCGGGCTCGATGTTCCCCGTTTCGTTCGGAATTCGCCGAACTTCGTTGACCCGTTGCCGATTCATGACTTGTTCTCTCGTCGCCGAATTCTGAAATCTGGACGACATTGGCTCTGTGCAAAAGGTGCGTTTTTTCCCCCTTCAATTTTCTATTTTTTTGCTGAATAATTGGCTCATCTGATTGTGGTTCAACGATTGTGGCGTTTTCTATATGTGATATGTTATTTCGTTTGGTTGCCGAGAAACAGAAAACAAGTTCTCTGATTTTTATGTGTCCGTACTGTGTTTGATTTTTCTTCTTCTTCTTCTGGAACCTCCATCTTTTTCTGTGTTGAAACGGTGTAATTTGTAAATCGGCTTAGTGACCTGTAATTTTCGAGGTTTATTTTCTTTAATTATGTTTCTGAAGTTTCTCGATAACGGATATAGTAGATTCTTGTTATGGGATCATCTTTTCGATTTCGGAATGTATCTTATCTCTAGTAAACCATCAGTTAACTAGATCAGTAGAATATGCGAACTTATTTGTCTACTTTTGATTTTGGAACAGAAGCCAGAGTGTGTTCTGCACTTTATATGAATTGTAGGCGTGCTTCTTGATAAAAGCCTTACTTGATGAGGAAGAAGAGGAAAGGAAGCGAAACAGACCCATGCTCGGATCTACACAACTTTTTGTCGTCAACCAACAATTCGCGATCATCAGTTCTTACCTCGCATTATTCACTTGAAGATTATACAAGGTTGAACAAGCGTTGCAAAGAAGATTCCAATGAAGGGCCTGTTGCTTCCTATAAAAGTAGAATTGCGGGCATTGCCACTGCACCTCCGTGCGGGACTTCATCTTTAGCCACACCTGGAAGGGGTCTGAAGCGGAAGATTGGTTGTATTGATGTAGCTACCCAAATGGGTAGGAAGAATAAGATTGAGAATGACTATATATCGGGTGCCACAATTGGGCATGGTAAGTTTGGTTCAGTTTGGTTGTGTCGGTCTAGGACCAGTGGAGCAGAATTTGCATGTAAGACTCTAAAGAAGGGAGAGGAAACGGTTCACAGGGAGGTGGAGATAATGCAGCACTTATCTGGTCACCCTGGGGTTGTGACATTGCAAGCAGTGTACGAGGAACATGAGTCTTTTCATCTTGTCATGGAGTTGTGCTCTGGGGGACGCTTGATTGATCAGATGTTGGAAGAGGGTCGGTATTCAGAGCATCGTGCTGCTAATATATTCAAGGAAGTTGTGTCAGTTATCAAGTATTGTCATGATATGGGGGTTGTTCACAGAGACATTAAGCCCGAGAATATTCTTTTCACAACTTCGGGAAAGATAAAGCTTGCAGATTTTGGGCTGGCAATGCGGATAACAAATGGTCAGGATCTATATACTTACAGACATATTGTTTATGTGGTTGTGCTTGTATGATATCTGCATGTACATTTACGTAAGGAAAATAATGATTTATTAGTTCAAGATTTGCAGTTTAGAAACGGTTATCAATGTAGACTACGGATTTATTTGCCTTTTCCTCCTCAGTATTGTAGTTTAAGGACCACGTGAATCGTTATGTATATTAAGCCTTTTCCTTCTTACCATTGTAGTGTAATGGCCTTCAGTATCTTTATGTGAGTTGACACATTAAGTAGAGCCCAATTTCAATCTTTAAGGCCCCCAGGGCCCCCCCCCCCCTCCCCCAAATCTGAAAGCTTTTGTAAAGTCTGTATCTTTTCCTGTGCGTTTTTGTATAGTTTGACAAACTGATATGGTTTTTCTAACGGCAACCCACGTATATGCAATGCACGAGTAGTGATGAGTGAAAATGTCAAAGTTAATACTACAAACATTCTCTTCAGTATAGCATTGACAAGAAGTTTGCGTGTTGCACGGGAAGTTCTGATTGCAATCCATATTCTATTCTATAAATAGTTTATCCTGAAAGTGTTTCTCATGCTTGTCACAGGTCAAAATTTGACTGGTTTAGCTGGAAGTCCAGCTTATGTTGCACCAGAGGTTTTATCAGGAAAATATTCTGAGAAGGTGGATATCTGGAGTGCTGGTGTGCTGTTACACGCACTTCTGGTGGGTCGTCTACCGTTTCAAGGAGACTCTTTAGAAGCAGTTTTTGAGGCAATAAAAAATGTGAAACTTGATTTCCACACTGGGATATGGGAATCAATATCGAAACCTGCAAGAGATCTCATTGGGAGAATGTTGACGAGGGACGTTTCGGCGAGAGTAACGGCTGACGAAGTACTAAGTAAGTTAAGCGTGTTACATAAGAAAATTGTACGCTAATTGTTTAAGTGCCCCGTGCACACCTTTGTCGATATAATAATTAGTTGCATGCTTCTTTGGGTGAGAGCATTCTGTGATAGTTATTGTTGACGGTATAAATTCGGCAACTTGGAATTTGACCTCTCCGGAAACACACATGAATTAAGCAAAAATAGTAAATTTTAAAAGAGTAAAAGACACGAAAAATTATAGAGGTTCGGCTGGAATAATGCCTACGTTCTCTGGGCTCTGGTTTTCACTATTTCTCAAAGAGTACACAAGAATTCTCTGTGAGCAGAAAATAGAGCGTAAAAAATAAATGAGGAGTTTTGGCCTCTATTTATTGGCTCTCCTCTACAGGGTTTAAGATTTGAATGATCAGGAGATTAGATAATCTTTATCTGATCTGCTATGCAAGATCTTTATCTTGTATTTGTTTTTGAATAGGGATTGAGAGTTGTCCTCTCCTGATTTCTCAGTTCTTAAGTTGATCTTCGATTTTCTCCTTTTGTCTTGGATATTTCTTGACTTGCATCTGTATGTCAATTTGGTATTTCTCGACCATAAGGCAGAACAATAGGAATTGGACTTCTCGACAGCTTGATTCACTTGAGGCGGTCAGATTCCTCGACCGTGGTGCAACACATAAAGATTTTAAGTGAAATTTGGGAAGTATGTTTCAAGATAGCACTTGGGTTGGATCTAAATAGATCTCTTCTCGGTGCATGACAGGGTTGGGTGAAGTCCACTTGAAGATAACACTTACTTTGAAGTGTTTTATTTTTAGGGACTGATCCTCCAGCCAAAACGCTATTAAAGATTCCTGTTGTTCTTCTTGTTGTTCTTCTTCTTGTTCTTCTTCTTCTTCCTCTTTTTTAGTTTTGCTTGCTTTGAACGTATTGATGTTGTTACTGCATATGATTGTGTGCTGTGACTGATTTTTTTGTTATAGATTATAGATTGAACCCCAGATTGTTACTTTTGAGTATTTTTATTCAATTGGATGACGTAAAGCACTATCTTGCAGGACACCCTTGGATATTATTCTACACTGCACGAACATTAAAGAATCTTCCTATCAAGTCGAAGACGAAGAACCAAGTTGGGGCACCTTCCCACCAGCTTGTTACTAGAGCCAGATTAAAGTTCGATCAAAGCAGGATTGAAAGCAGTTCTCTGGATGATAATTCAAATTCATTTTCATCCTCTGATAGTTGCAAGTCAGCAAATCGGGACGATTGTGGTTTGGTAGATGCACTAGCCACAGCAGTTTCACGAGTGAGAATTTCTGAACCGAAAAGAAGCAGATTGTGCAGTCCCACTGGCCCAATTGAGCAGCAGTGTTCGTCTAACATAAAGGCTAACAATCTCTGTAAAGCGTTTTGATCTTGCTGACGGACTGACACCAGTATCACGATCTCCAATCCTTTTTAATGCTGGGGAACTGAAGTATGCCTGCCCCGGTGGGAATCATCAGTGGGTGAAGGGTGATAACAAGCTGACGATTCCAGATCAAAGTGGTAACTTGGGTGTCATCATAATGCTTTGAAGAAACCCACTGTGACCCTTTTAATTTTCCATTATATTTGCTGTTTTTTTTTTCTTTTTTAACCTAATAATGGTTCTAAGTTCTAACCTGATGAACTGAGAGAATTCATGTACAGACTGTAAATAGAATGCTGGAGTGTTTTCCTCTCTCACTTATGATAAATGGTTAAATATAGTGCTTTAGTTATTTCTAATGTGAATAGCATGTGGAGATATTTGAAGCAATGATAGTCTTCTATCTGTTTTCTGTTGAGTGAATGTTGATTTTAAATCTTTTTGATATCTACTAGTAATAACACATTTCTTACGGGATCCTTAAATCTTGCAAATGGTTATCATCCCTCGGGATTTGAACCTGATTATGGAATCATCTTAATTTTTGTTTATTGACTATTGTTGTACAAGTCTTGATGTCCAACACTTGACGCCACCCTATGTAAGCACCGATATAAAGAAACAGCAAAACAATGTCATTTTGTTAGTGATGTGGATCATTGACTATAAAAATGTTGGCGGCGTTTTTTTTTTTTTTTTTTTTAAATTATTCCTTCACTGACATGAATTTTTTGGATCGTGTATGGAAATCCGAGTTTTAGAATAAGATTTTGATGATTTTCACCCCGATCTAAACCGTCTGTATTCTTCCTTCTTTAACGCCTTTGTTGCCTTCTTTGGACGGTTTCAGTTGTGATATTGTATTCCGAAGCAACGCCTGTTGCCAGAAAAGGTCAACTTCTTGTTAAACCATGTGCATTGCCTGCACTAACCTTTGACCAAAAACCACAAATTTCATTGTTTAGTGCCTTTCCCTATTTGTTTAATTCCTCTGAAGCTTCAATCTCGAGATGAATAATCTATTTAAAGTGTGTATGTAAGCTACTTGGAATTCTTGGCTTTAACCTCAAACAAACAATGGAAATCCAAAGTAGTGCCAAAGCAGTGATCAGAAGGAGAAATCCTTGTTCCTCAACCAAACTCGTCCTTTGCATCATTCTTGCGCTTACCCTTCCAATACTATTGTACATGCAAGCTTCTTCCATCTATCCACGTTCCTCTGCTTCATGGGATATCTTCCAGAAACTTTGAACCTGGAGCGACACACACAACGCCCTCATTTCCGAGCTCCGGGACTCAGTCACTTTCTTGCTTCTCAGAGATCTGAGCTTCGCCAAAACTGGCATGGAAGGGAATATTTGGTCTATGAGCTCCTTGAACGACATCCTTTAAGAAAATGAATCCAGGTATCTCTACTTCCCTTCAGAACCATCCAAGGGAAGGATTCTCTGCATCAAAGGGCATGACACACACGAAGGGAAGAAAAACTTGTATGCCTTAGCATGGCCAGAGAGCCTTCCACGCTCTGCGACTCTCTTGAAGGGCTTAACCTTTGTGTCGGACACATACTACGACTATGAAAATCTTTGGCATGGATTGTCCGCTATAGCTCCTTTTGTGGGCTGGTCAATCAAGAACGAATGCCTAAAACCAACAAGATGGGTGCTCTTCCATTGGGGCGAGGTTAGAGACAGAATGGGACCTTGGATTCAGAACATAACGCAAGCAAGCTTTGGATAAGTCCCGGTTGAAACTTTGACGAAAGGAGGTGATGGTCCTTATTGTTTTGAGAAGGCTGTTGTGATGAGGCACAATGCGGGGCGCATGGCGAAGGAAAGGAAGCTTCAGGTTTTTGACCTGTTGAGGTGCAAAGCGAGGTCGTTTTGCCGATTAAGCCTTTTCGGTAGGGGGAAAGAGGTCAATGCAAGAAGAGAGCCTGTTGTGAGGCTGACTTTGCTGATGAGAAGAGATTCGAGATCGTTCGCGGATCCAACCGCTGTGATTAGTGTATTTGAGGGGGAATGTGCCTTGGTGGAAGGATGCATGATGGAGGTGGCTCAGTCTGAAGATTTGAGCTTCTGTGATCAGGTTTGTCACTGTGTAGCTGTCCTATTTCTCTGTTTGATTCTAAGTTCTGTCTCTCGTTTTTGTTAAATTATTAGAGATTTGTCTTAAAAAATAAATGATATCTCACCAGGCAAGAATGCTGATGACACCACCTATAAGTATATTAACCAATAATTCTTGCTCAACTGGAGTGTAGTTTTAGCACCAGAGTTTAGCTCATAAACTAATGCAAGGAAGAGAACTTGACTAAAGTGAGAATAATGCTGTTTTAAACTAACTTATACAATTCAGCAAAAAAAAAAAAAAAAAACTTACTTATACAATAAGACAAGAAAAGCACAAATAACCATCCACATTACAGCTCATTCTACTGATGCACTTTATGGCTAAAGCTCGGGTCTTATAATGCAGGTGAAAGTAATGACTAATATCGACATTGTTGCGTCACCACACGGAGCACAGCTAACGAACATGATCTTCATGGACAGAAACAGTAGTGTTATGGAGTTCTTCCCCAAGGATTGGAGCTTGCAGGTGTTGGCCAGTAGCACATCACTGGATGGCAGAAATTTCTGGGATGAGCCACACTGGCGCTTGGCATGATCCTCTCGGCGAAAAGGAATGCCCCGATCCCCAAAATGATGAACAGTGCTTTGATTTTTATAAAGATGCCGAGGTCACTCATAATGAGACACACTTCGCGGAGCGAGCACGTAATGTCCTCAACCAAGTGAAAACAAGCAAATTAGAGCAAATGACTCGGAGTTCACAGGCAAAATCAAATGTTTGTATATGCTAGTTTGACACTTCATCATTATTATGTTGGTTGGTCCTCCTCTTATAAGCAAAAGTAAACAATTTCCGTGAGCATGTGAATGATAATAGATGCTAAGATATCATATGGTTAGGCAAAACGACATTCTTCCCAGTCACAAAAGCTGAAGCTCTAATTAAAGAAAATTCCTGGTTCCAATGGAATTTATGTGTTTAATGGTGAGAAGATCGGGAGTGACTCAGGAAAATCATAATGCTTTCCTTCTTAGTGAGAAAATTGGTCAAAGGGTATACATAATATAACAATATAAAAGAGTTGATGGTGAGGAAGCGGTACGCATCACAATAATTTTATAAAAACTTGAAAACATGATTTTCAAGATGTTACTGTTAACATACAAAACCATGGAGGACAATTTACAATATAGTCCAGCTTAGCAATCTCGTCTGGCCTTCCAAGCAACATTCTATGGTATGAGGTGTCATGGGAACTTCTACATGCATCATTTTCGAGACATTTTGGACCACAGGTAAACCAAAAAGAAGCAAACTAACGCGAAAAGAACCACATGGACAACACTGTTCGAGCCATTCTGAATGATGCTTTTGTTCAATCTCCTTACGTTGTTCTTTACCCCTGCTTGAGCTTTGATCAGTGTCATTTGCTGCAATTAATAAGATACAAAATTATTTTCAGAAAGGTGTTGGTGTTGCATTCCATCTTTTGTTTAAGTGTAACAGTATTAACCGCGAAAGAAGTAAAAAGATGCATGGAATATCATTTCAAGTGTAACTAGTCTGGCCCTAACCATGCTCTTCGTCTCTCAAATTTTACAGTCTAGATGAGACATAAGTTCTGTGGAAACAGGTCTAAAGATTATACAAGTTTAAGCAGCGGCATTATTTACAAAACATGAGTAATTCCTAGGTGAAAAGCAGAAGTGACATAGCAAGTATACTTCATAAGAGTCACTTTCAGGCTCATTATATCCTTCAGCCTAAAATGTATACAAATTTTCAGCCACATGGTATTCCAAAACATGAACTATTCAATTCCATATAGTGCAGGATATATAATAAAAGAAATTTATGTCTTTCAAGCAAGGATAACATAATGAATACTTGCCAGCTGATTGAGAAAGTCATTCTGGAATCTCGCTTCTGTCCCTATCTCTTCAGCTACCTGCAACAGGGTACACTCCGTAATCCAAAAACGCAGTACAAATTACCTAAACATTTATTGCAATCAAATAGCTAGCCTACGAACAATCACAAAAGTCCCAGAGAACAGAATGTTGGTCCCAGAAAATAACCTATTACACATATCTTTTAGTATTTACTAACTTATAGAAACTTTTCTGTGAATACATAATTTGAGCCAAAACGATAGAATTTCCAAGGAAAAAAAAACAAAAAAAAAAAAGTTCACTGTCATATCAAAACAAGTTGTGAGTAAGGCATGCTGCTATACAATAGCCTCTAGTTATTCCAAATCTGCATTGATGCTTTACGAAAGCTAAGAAAATCAAGTCAATATGATTACTTCCCCTTTTCATAAAAAATATAAAATATGATGATTTGATAATAAAAAAAAATGCAAAACTGCAAAACAACAGCTTCTAGCGTGCAAAAAGTGCAAGTGAAGACTTAATAAATAAATAAAAAGTGTAAGTGAAGACCCATTGGATGCCCAAAATAGAAGACCTAATACCTTGGTACTAAATTGAAACTTTTCCAAATTTCTCAAAGTCATGCTCTTGAAACAGAACTTAAAAAATAAAAAAAAAATAAAGAAAAATAAACAGAACCCAATTCACTACTCCAAGGAAACCAATTCAATTATCTACAAGCTACGGTTTTCTATTTAAAAACAAACTTCTTACATTTCTCAATCGCCTAACTTGGCTACGAAGACCTGTGATCTCGTCATCCAAGTCGCCCTGCATCGGATCAATGCGCAATTGAATTTCATCGGAACTCGCCACCGGTCTCGTGATAAGACCCTCCCTGCTCGTCCAACATGTCGTTCGTCAAAATCAAGAAAAAAAAAAAAAGAAAAAAAAAGCCAAAGGCTTCTAATTTTCTCGGGAACCAAACAGAAAATAACTTAATTTCGATTACCTCGATCTGAAGGGAGCAGCGCCACCATAGGCAGCCATCGGAGAAGGAAAGAGGATAAATATAAACCCTAACAACGCAGTATTTCGGAATCGAGTCAATTGACGAAGATGGCGCCAATAAAAACTTTGTGAAGAACTGAAGATATCTGTTGATTTGATTTTGAGATTTATAATGAGAAAATCATTTATAATTTATTAAACGCGAGGGCTGTGAGTCTGTGACGTAATTCGGACGGCCAATCCGCCGTTGGTTTTTCAATCTCCGAAATCCGACCGTTCAAAAAAGTATTCAACTAATATAATAAAAAAAGTAAGGGTTAACCCCTTTTCCCTCTCAACTTAACGGTGATTCTCAATTTATTTTTAAATTTTTTGAAAAGTCACGCTTTACCTCTTAAATTTTAATTTAGACCACTTACTCTTTGATTCAGATTAAATTAAATATAGTTATGCAGTCTTTTTATTCATTTGATTTTAATAAAAATTTTAACAAAAGATTAAGAGTGGAAATACAAATTGTGATACGTGATACACGACACGAACACAAAGACACGATTAACCCGACTCGATTTATTAATTTTTTATTTAAAATATACACAAATATAGACAAAAAATATTTCTTAACGAATTTTTTTAAAATAGATTTAATTATAATAACATCAAAATATAAGATTTGTGACCTAACAATGTAAAATGTAGATAAATGGACTAAGTAAATAAATTAGCACTCAAATTGTTCGCATTAATCGTGACAGTATAAATCTGAGTGATGTTTTCATTCAACAAGTGACACCATGTCGACTCGAATACGACACGAAAATTTAGGTCAACACAACACGATCTAAATTGTCACGTACAAAAGATCACGTAATCGTACTGCCCATTTTCTTCCATTTTGTTTTGAGTAGAGTTACTACTATAATGGGAGTTAATGCTCCGTTTGGTTGGAGGGATGGAGAGTAGGAAGGATTAAGAGGATTATAATAATCCTTCATGTTATTTAGTTAGATAGAGAGAGTTAAAATGATAGATGATAATTATTTATTTTATTACTATGATGTCAATTTTATTATTTTTTAATAATTTATTTTGAATGGTAGATAAGTATTTTTAATTTAAATTTAAGTGAATTAGTTGGATCCTTCAATCAGTGGAAGGATCCAAAATTATAAGCCGAGAGGGAGAGTCTCTCCTTCTTACCAAATAAAAAATTTACTCACTCCCTACTTCCTACCAAACATATCATAAATAAAATTAATTCAAAATTTAAAAAATAAAGAGGGAGTTTTAAATTTTATGGGGTAAATTCGGGCACATCAGTCCGTTTCGTTCGTTGATTCAAGTTTTTAATTCGAATTGAGATATGATTTTATGTGAGAGTTTTTTACTGTAGTAAAAAAGTTAGATGTAACTATTTTTGAGAGCTTTTTACTGTAACAAACTCGAATTTTAAACTCAAATTGGTGAAATGAACGGGCCTAATTAATCTAAAAACTATTTTCAAGCAAAACAAATTAATCCAAAAACTATTTACATGTCTCAACGGAAAAAAAAAAAAAAAAAAAAAAGAAGAAGAAGAAAGAAGAGAGAGAAGGTCCTACATACCCAAGCAAAAGCCAAGCCATGACGTTTTCAAGAAAAAGACCAACGCGGCATTGCCACTACGAAACGACGAACAATGCCATCGCGTTTTACTAGACGAATCCACGCGTTTGCTCTTCCTATAAGTAGTACATCCCCACGATCCTCCAGGATCATCCGAACGTGGGCAAAAGAAAAAAATAAAAATAAAAATTTCTAAGGAGTGGGGAAAAAAGAAAAAGAAAGATGGGAAGCGAATGTCATGAGGTTGTGAGAAAACCAAGATTTTTGTGCCTTCATGGATTCAGAACAAGCGGAGAAATCATGAAAAAGCAGGTTGAGAAGTGGCCCGAGTCGGTGCTGGAGAAGATGGATCTCGTCTTCCTTGATGGGCCTTTTCCGGCCCAGGGAAAATCCGACGTCGACGGGATTTTCGATCCTCCCTATTACGAGTGGTTCCGATTCAACAAGGTCTCTTTGCTTTCATCAGTAATAATATTTTTATTCTTTGCTTTTCCGAAATCATGAGAAAAACAACAAAAATTAATCTTCGTTTTCAAATGTCTGTAACAGGAATTTACGGAGTATTACAACTTTGAAGAGTGCCTTCAATACATAGAAGATTTCATGATTAAGAACGGACCTTTTGATGGTCTCGTTGGTTTCTCTCAGGTATTATTAAATATTAATAATTTTAAAAAACAATTACAACTTTTATTACTTTTTTTTTTTTGTCTTTTATAGTTAAGAGCCACTAATATGACGAAAACGTTAAATGAAACAATACAGGGGGCGATATTAGCGGGGGGTTTGCCGGGGCTACAAGACAAGGTACAAGTTAAAACTGGTTTTTTCGACAAGCCATTGAATATATATATATATATATATTGAGAATAGAAGTAAAAAATTAAATTGTCTTGTGTTTTTTAATTTTTAAATTGTCTTGTCTTGTGCGCAGGGCGTGGCATTAACGAAGGTTCCGAAAATACAAAATTTGATAATAATAGGAGGAGCAAAATTCAGGTCACCTGTCGTGGTTGAGAAAGCCTACGCGTCTCCGATTCAGTGCCCTTCTCTTCACTTTTTCGGTATTTTCTATTTTCTATGTTTCTTTTTCTTTTTCGGTCAGCATTTGTGTACCACGTGTGAATTGTGTTACTTTGAAAAAGCAAGAATTTGGACGTGGACTTTATTCGTTTTGCTAGAAGAAAGGTATCCATGGGCTACTTCTACGTGAAAAAGTTGTCATTCTAATTCAAATAATGAGATTCTCATTAACATATGTTTTAAACTGTTAAATTGGTATCCCTCAACAAAAAAAAAAAAAAAAAAAAAAAAAAAAAAAAAAAAAACTGTTAAATTTTTACGAAATTGTCAGTTTTGCGTATTCTTTTAGTAATTTTGACGAAGTGTAACATTGTGTGCGTTTAGAATTATTTTTAAAAACAATTTTTACGAATTTTGAGAAGTAAAAAATAAAAATAAAAGCGAAACACATTTGTTTAACAAATATTTTAAAAATAAAAACTATGAGAATAATTTTTATAAAAGAATTAGAAAACAGTTAAAAATTATTTTCACTTTTTAGTATTTATAAATAATATTATAATATATTAATTAATAAATACGATTTTATTTTTTTTATAATCTCTTAAAAAATCAACCAAACGCAATTTTAAAATCGATCTTAAAATGATTCTCAAAATAATTTTATTTTTTATTTTTTATTAAAAATAAAATTATTTTAAAACTAATTCCAAACACGCACATTGTTTTTCTTAATGCCGTTTGAGGTCATAATACTCCTTCCCTTACAAAATAAGATGCAAAATAGTACTAAAAAAAACCAACCTTAAAAGATAATAAAAAAGTCTCGTAGGCATGGCGGGTTTTGGATGCTTCCTCGATCAGGAATTGAGATCTAGATCCAGCAAAACTGAGACACCCTTTTTTTTTTTTTTTTAAATGTCATTTCTGCATTAGAGTACATGATTTTATGCAAGTTGTTGGAAAATGGGAACTTTACAGTTTTGTTAAGCCAATATGTGAAAATGAAAACACAGTAGTAAGCATATGTTAATAAGTATATGTATGTACATTTTACGGTTGTGTACTAACTGCTTTATAAAAATTTTATGTTATTTCTCCAAATTTCAGTATACTTTCATCATTTGATTGTGGGTTGGATAGCTCACCAATAATGGTGATTAATTTCACGTATCTAAAACCTTTTTGCAGGAGAGACGGATTTCTTGAAACCTTATGGACTTGAGTTCTTGGAATGCTGTTTAGATCCTGTAGTGATTCATCATCCAAAGGGCCACACTGTCCCAAGACTTGGTAAGTATATTAACTATTGTGTATAGAAAAATGTTTAGGACTCCACCTGTGCTTGCCAATCACTGCTAATAGAAGGTGGGCTCCACCTATAAGTTTATATTGCGGAATCCACCTTCTATTTGTGGGCATTTTAAATGTTTATATTATGAAAAAATGGAGAATTTACTCTTGAGAGTGCATAAATATAGACTTTTACTATTTACTCTTGATAAATACCATTTTGTTAGTGTAATTATTTGACTAAAAAGGTTATGAATCAAAAATAAAAAATAAAAATTCTGACACATGCACTTTCAAGCGGTATTTGTCAAGATTATCCTTATATTATTCAAACAACTTTGTTTAGACAATAACTAACTAGGTTTTTTTTTTTTTTTTTTTTTTTGTTTCTTAGATGAAAAGAGCTTGCCCACAGTGCAGAGCTTCATTGAAAAGATTCAGAAGACATTGTCTGAGAAAGAAGAATAGTTACAAGCAATATATGTGCTTAAATTGGTCCTGTTGTAGCTTTTTCTTTGAAACGATTTAGTCTAATTTGAGGGAGGCAAGATGGGGGACACATGGTAAAGCCAAATTGTAAGGTCATTCTTTTTTGGAATTGAAGATTGTCATAGTATTCAAAATATAAGAAATCCTAATTTTACTCTAATTTGTCTTGGAGAACTCCAGTTGCACCTTTTTAGTTTGCTAAATTATGGAGAAAATCGTTGATTGCAATATTTGATAACAACACTCATGGCACAAGGCCGCTAATTATATTGTAAAATGATTATAACAAACAACAAATTTTAAATGATAATCTGAACACCAATTTAATCACAACCGTTGATTTTAAATGACTACCCTATATTGTCGCTAAAAATTCTAGTGAACTAGCCCTGCCCCGCACTACTGAATCCCATGCAACCTTATGCAGCGTTTTGTAGTGACCAACCATGTCAACCTAGTCACCCTACTAGTCACGCTGCTTTAAGCAGAAGGCTTCTTTTGAGAGCACGCCCTAGTGTTGTGAGAATGCCTACAGCCGGTCACGAGCACACCCCCAAACCCCTCATTTGCCCCAACGACACCGCCGACCAACCTTCAAAATGCCGAATAGGACCCCAACCTCATGATTTTAGCCCCTCCATTTGTAAGTCCTGTGAGCAAAGACATTGTTGCCGTCAAGGGAAAGAGAAGAAAGGAAATGAGATTAGATTAGTTTAAAATTTGGTTTGAGATGATTTTAAATTGTCAAAGTAAATTTTAATTATGTCGGTAAGTCAGACTTTCACCCATGTGTTTGGTATTCTTATGATGAGACTTATATTAGGACCATTATGCTGCCCTTTTCTCCCCTGTAACAATACAATATAGACTTTTGTTAATAGTGGCAGTGCCACATTTGAGGTTTTTAATTTTTATGCCAATATTATTTTTTGAAAAGTTTAATTATGCCCTCACTATGCGGAAAATTCTACTTGCGCTTAAAGTTCTTTAACCAAAATTATTTCGAAAGTTATCCGAATACTTTCCAAAGCACCTTTCGAGCCCATAAAGTCAAAATATAATTTTTTGAGAAATTATAGTATTTACTTTTAAGAATGTATAAGTTTGGACCTTTTAGGGATAAGTTCTACCCAATGGTTATAACAATTGGTATCAGAGCATGCTCCTCCTCAGGCCCACGTTGCGGAAGGGGCGACCTGGAAAGGCCAGAGTGGGCCATCCAGAGTGGGCCGCCGTGAACGTCGGTGTCGGAAGCGTGGTGGTATGTTAGGATCCTGGTTGAGTCTCATATTGCTAAGTATGAGCTTAGCATGTGGGTTTATAACCACTTGGGCACCCTCTCCCTACAAGCTAGCTTTTGGGGATGAGTTCTACCCAAGGGTTATAACAATTGGTATCAGAGCATGCCCCTCCTCAGGCCCACGTTGCGGAAGGGGCGACATGGGGAGGGGTGACCTGGAAAGGCCAGAGTGGGCCATCCAGAGGTTACTTTTTATTCTTGATAAATACTATTTTATTAGTGTAATTATTTGACTAAAAAGATTATGAATCAAAAATAAAAGATAAAAATTATGATGCATATACTTTCAATGAGTATTTGTTAAGATTATTTAATGGCCCGTTCACTTCACTAACTCTAATTTTATGATTTGAGTAAGAAAAGTGAACTTGAGTTGTTTTTAATTGGAGTTGTAATATGAAATTTGAGTTACATGTTTAGTAAGAGATTGATGTGGCATTTACAACTTGAATTTTGTGTTCACTTGCACAAATCTAAACTCACCACTTACATAAGATATTGCATTGGATTTATATTCATTTTCTGTACCTACATAAGCCAATGTTAATAGTCTTGCAAGCATTGTACGTGAGGCAGCTCAAATAACTATAGAAAAAATTCTGCAGAGGCATTATACAACTTCAAACCAAGAAAAATGAGCATGTTGTACGGTAATAAGCCAAGGTAAAAACGGCAACAGGAGAGCCAATACAACAATATGGGAGGCAATAAGCTAAGGTAAAAACGGCAACAGGAGAGCCAATACGACAACAGGGGAGGCAGGAACGAGGGTCCAGCGGGCAGAAAGCAGAGAGAAATCTGCACTGGAGAGGCAGGAACGAGACAACAACGGGAAGAAAGCAGAGGAATCTGCACTGTTCAAGCACATAGAAACACTGTAGAAGCACACTGCAGTAATGGGAAAACAACCGGTATGCCAAACTCTGAAATCAGAGTTATTACTCGAGTTTTACACTCGAGTTTTGTTTGATGAACGCAAAACTCAGCCCAAAATTCAACTCAAATTGGGCTTACTCGAGTGGGATACATGAAGTGAACGGGCCCTAAATATCTTGCATAAAACAATGCCAAACATGAGACACGCCGTTTTGATCATTTGGAACAACTCGATGAATTTAGTAGATCTTTTTAGAATTAGGAAAGATATTATCTAGACGGGTGAATAGATTGACCTTAAAACAACAACGATTAATTACTATTGCTATAAAACAAGCTCGTATTTTATGTTTGTTACCCTTTCTTAATAATGAGAAACAGTTTGAAAGAAGCGAGTCGACTCCTAGAACTACTGGTCTTAGAATTAAAAATAAATAGGCTTGCTCTTCTTCAATTGAATCAAAATAAAATTCCAATCCGAATTCAAATGCAAATTGACGGTTTGTTCAAAAAATCTGAAAATTCCAATTTTATTGTTATGTCGTAAGAAAAAAAAGAATTGGGGAAGAAGAATAAATCTTTTTTTATTGACCGTGTTTGTTCGTTGTGATGACTTTATCATATCCTATTTTATTATACTAATTTCTACTCTACTTTCCCAAGTTCATTTGTCAAGGAACTCCATTTAAAACATTTCATTTCTTTCAATCTCCTTATCTTATTTTAAGATCTCATTGGAAATCATATAAAGACAATTCCTATTTAATATAGCTATTTGTGCAAGTATTTTACGATTAAGAAGCAACTGCCTCTTGTACAGATGATGTATTAATGTACTATAACTGTAGTATACTTTATTGGCTCGAATTACTGCATTTATCCGAGTGATCCACAAACGACGAAAATCTCTCTTTTGCCTACCTCTATCCTGATGAGCCGGGATTCCTTCAATATTCGAGTCAAATTATTTCAGTAAATAACAGAATCATAGATAGGGAACTATACTAGTGACTTATCTAATTTTATTGTAGAAATCTTCGGGATCAATGATTGGACCATGCAAATGAGAAATACCTTTTCTTGGATAAAGGAAGAGATTATTCGATTCATTGCCGTATCGCTCATAATATATATAATAACTCGGGCACTGATTTCAAATGCGTATCCTATTTTTGCACAGCAGAGTTATGAAAATCCACGAGAAACGACTGGCCGTATTGTATGTGCCAATTGCCATTTAGCTAACAAGCCCGTGGATATCGAGGTTCCACAAGCGCTCGGTAATTTTTTTTTTTTCTTTTTTGGCTCTGTAGAATTTACATTTTATTTTTAGAAACTTTTTTTTAAGGAAAAAAAAAAGAGAGAAGAAACTACGGTATACATTTGTACCCTTCAAATTTAAACCTTTTTATCTTAACGTTACCCTGTTGAGCAATTAAGCACGAAGAAAATGGGCAAACAGATTTAAATCCTCAAAATACCCTTCTAAACTTCGCCTTTAAGCAGGATTAAGCCATTAAGTGAATTCTTATCTATAGTCCTTAATACACACCTAGCCCCAAAAAATAATCAAAACAACTTAAAGCCCCTTAATTTTCATTCGTTATTGCTCGTTTTAGTGTGTGAAGTCAATGTCGGCAAATAACATTATGTATCACAACACAACATAGAATAACACATCATCCATATTTCATTTTCACACTTTTTAACGACTTATATAACATTGACATTACCATTTGCATAAGTTTGATCTAGAAACCAACAAAAACCCAAAAAATGAAAACAACAAACGCTTGTGTAAGCATGAAAAATGAAGCAATTCCTTAAAGCCCTCTCTAAACAACATAACAAAAAAGGCGTTAAAAAAATGTGGTCGTTAGTAGTACGCAAAGGCAGAACAATGACATGCCTTCTCTTCACTCATTCACTTGTTCTGGCTTCTTCTAGCACTTTCTGTACCATTTCCAAATCCTCTCGCTCTTGCTCTATCCACAACCATCTTCCCATCTCCAACCTCTCTTCTGTAAGCCTCTCTCTCTCTCTCTCTCTCTCTCTCTCTCTCTCTTCTAATTTTCTCTCTCTAACCAAAGTTTTTTCAGGCCTTTTTCCTCAACCCAATTGCGAACTCTTCGGTCTTCGCCTTTTGTTCGAAGCCCGGAAGCGAAACGAGAGCTGGGTCGGTTCAAAGCATGCAAAACCCCGAGTCCATATCGTACCTTACGCAGCGAGAAGCCGCCGAGATCGATGAGACCCTCATGGGTCCTCTTGGGTTTAGCGTCGATCAGTTAATGGTCAGTCCAGTTATATATATCTATATTATATGTGTATATATATATCATATTTGGTTTTTGTTATTTGTTGTGCTTTGGCCATTCTGTAGGAATTGGCTGGTTTGAGCGTGGCGGCTTCTATAGCAGAGGTAATAATAATGCATTTGCTCTTCTTCGTTTTTTGATTGAATGAAATTCGAACTAAGAAATGCCCATCAAGCAATTTCTAAAGAATTTTGTTATGCTGCCTTAATGATTGCCTATTAACCATGTTTAGTTCAAAGTCCTCGTAAGTCGTATCTTGCTCTCTTGCACGCTTTTTGGCTGCTTTGTGAACTGAGAATTTGTTCCAAATAGCTTAAAAGTGAGTGTTAAATTTTAGTGCTTTACATTATGTTGACAGATGTTTTGAGAAAATATGATTCTGTAATACTTTGTGTAAATAATCTGAGGTAAGAAAGGAAAAGAAAATGAGAAAGAATATGAGAGAATTCTCTTATTTGAGTAATTGCATCGATTGATCAAATCATTACATTGAAGGTTATAAATACAGGTATTTGGCTGTAACAGAATTGACATTCTCTAAACTTATTCTTTACTAGTAACCAATACAGGCACTAAATTTGTCATACTAGCTTAACAAACAAACTCTGAAATCTGTCTCAATACTTTGCAACGCCTCGAATTTGAAGAAATTAAAGAATCAGTTTTGGATATGTTATGTGCTGGACTTATCAAGCATTATATTTTTGTTTCGATAGGTCTACAAATCAAGCGAGTATAGTCGCGTGCTTGCTATTTGTGGCCCGGGGAACAATGGCGGTGATGGTCTTGTCGCTGCTCGTCACCTGTATCACTTTGGATATAAACCGGTTATTTGTTATCCGAAGCGTACTCCCAAGCCTTTATATACTGGACTTGTTACTCAGGTATGGAATGTGAATTTGAATATTGTTGAACGGATTGTCTTTTCGCCTATGTATTGGGAATACTCAAGGTCTTCTGTACATATAGTTTGCTACATATTCTTATCTGATTTGTTATTTGGTAGCTGGAGTCACTCTCAGTTCCTTTCATTTCGGTTGAAGATTTGCCGTTAAACTTGTTAGAGGAATTTGACATTATCGTTGATGCAATCTTCGGGTTCTCATACCATGGTAACCTGCTCTATTTTCTTTGGAAAAATCTTCTTATCTCCAAGTCTCTCAGTGAGAAATTGTTACATGTTGATGATGGTTATGGCGACATATCTGATTGGATACACCTAACCAAAGATTTTTATTCTAATCTAATTACAATGTTGTATTCCTAAGGTTCCCCAAGGCCACCCTTTGACGGTCTTATCCAAATGCTCATTTCTTTGCGTAATTATGACCAAACATGCCAAAAATCCCCTGTTATTGTCTCAGTGGATATTCCATCTGGGTGGCATGTTGAAGAAGGAGATGCTGGTGGTGAAGGCATTAGACCGGACATGTTGGTAGGCTGTTGATGGAAATTTCAATTGTTTTTCCACATGACATCTTGGAAGATTTACATTTTCTTAAAAATTTGTTTGAAGAAAAGGGCAGGCACGTTTGCACCCATGGACAAATGCATCAGTAATTATAGGCATATATTAAAGACATGAACTATTTTGTTGATGAAATACAATATTTTCCAGGTTTCTCTGACTGCTCCAAAGTTGTGTGCCAAAAAATTTTCTGGCCCACACCACTTTTTGGGTGGCCGATTTGTTCCCCCTTTCATTGCCGAACAATACAAACTTCATCTTCCATCATATCCTGGCACTTCTATGTGTGTCCGTATTGGAAAGCCTCAGAAAATTGATGTATCTGCTCTGAGAGAGAACTACATTTCTCCTGAGTTCCTTGAGGAACAGGTGGACTCTGACCCAATTGATCAGGTAGAATTCAAGTAAAGCTATTGTTGGTATTTCATTTGCTTTTGCTATCTTGAGTACTAGCCATGGTTTATGAACTGAGCCACTAACTATCTTGTAGTTCCGTAAATGGTTTGAGGAAGCGGTGGCTGCTGGATCAAAAGAACCGAATGCCATGGCCTTATCTACCGCTGGCAAGAATGGAAAGCCGTAATTACTTATTTTTCTGCTTTGCCACTTTCATTGCTAGTAATGTATGCTTAATGTTTGTAACAGTGCAATTCTTTTTTTTTTCTTTGTTTGAACTGCCTGTATCAGGATGAACGGTGTTGAGAATCCTCATCAATTTCATATTTTCAGTTCTTGTGTTTTAGAGTCAATTGCTTACCTTTATACTCGTGGAATCCGTTGATTCACTTAATGTTACATTGCTGTTCTATACAGTTCATCGCGAATGGTATTGCTGAAAGGGTTTGATGAGAATGGTTTTGTCTGGTTAGTACTATGTTGCTTTTATGGTAGTGCATGCTTTTGGCAGTATAGCTATCTTCACGCTTTCTATAAATGGTTCTAATTAGTTGTTGCTATATGAAGGTACACCAATTATGAGAGTCAAAAGGCTCATGAATTATCAGAAAATCCTCATGCATCACTTCTTTTCTACTGGGATGGTCTAAATCGGCAGGTAAACCATTCTTAAACAGTTTGTTGACACATCTGAAAATCGGTTACCAATAAAGAAATCTTATAACTGAAGTTATTATATGACCACAAAACAGAACATTTCCTCTGTAACTTGTATCTGGAGAACCATTATGGTTGCATGGTGTGCACTTGACTTGGAAACTTGTATATAGTAACCTTTCTGTCGCTTATGAGGGCTTTTTTTATTTTATTTTTTTTCACTTTCGTAATTATGATTTTGATAAGCCCTTACTCAGGCAAGTGTACATTAGGAAGAATAAAAGAGCGTAGGAAGGGGGTTCTGGGTTGAGGGGGCTGCCTATAGCGTATTGTGGAAGTTGTTAGTATTAGTTAGTAGCTTACTAAGAAAGATTGTTAAAGGGAAAATGTATAAAAGGGGGCGAGAGGAATAGAAGGGGTATTGGGAAATAACCAGAAAGTTGGACAAATCTTGAAAAACATTCCAAGTAAGGGGAGGAAGCAGACCCTCAAAGTTCTGTAGATTGGTGTATATGTGTAGACATTAATAAAGTTCCAAAGTTGATTCTTTTCTTCATTCTTTCAATCTTTTCTTTATTTTGTCCCAATCGAATCAGCTCTTATCATTTGGTATTAGAGCAATTTTTTTCTGGGGGATAATGGCGACCAGGAAAACATAAGAGAAATTCGAGGCGATGGAAAAGGAAATTCAACAAGTTAGGGCTTCGGTGGAGAAGGAAATTGGTGAGGTAAGGGCTGAAATGAGCCATAGCAGGGCCGAAATTAACCATAACATGGCTGAAATACCAGAACGTGTCAGATCTGCGCCGACTGATGGAGGAGCAGATGCGACTGTTAACCGCGGCGGCGACGGCGGAGGGTTCTCGGTCAGGAGCTGCGAGGGTTCGGGAAAAAGAGGTCGGGTTGGACCGAGGTATAACCCGCGATGTTACAGGTCCGATGGAGGAGGAGGGACGCGATTTGGGGGAGCTAGCCGAACCTAGGGTTTTTAGGGAAGGGGAGCGGGGAAAACGCCGGGTTGTGGACGGCAGGGAGAGTCTGGTCGGGGAAGAGATTGCGCGTGCTAGGGTTCGGATCGCGAACGGAAATCATTCCGATCTCAACCGCGATGGCCGTATTGGCCGACCCAGGGACGGCGAGACCGGCGATGGAGAAAGAAGCTTCCGTGAAGGGCGGTGCGGCGATTTTCGAGCAGGAGGAGCTTCCGAGGATGCCCGGGACTGGCGCAATGGCCGTAGTGGCGAAGAGGGAAGAGGAACTCGCACGGTGAATGGAGGCCCTAGATCGAGGATGGATGGCCGTTACGAGGGAGTCCGTTTGGGTGGGAATACTGGCAGAGAGAATAGACGTCGCTGGGAGGAAAATGAGGCTGGGGATTCCATGGGCTTCATAGGTAACTATGGAGAGCCGGGGGGTGAGGAACTCTCACCGGTTCGGCGGAAGCAATTGGATTATCCACTGTTCAGTGGAATTGATTCGGATGGTTGGTTGTTTATGATGAACCATTTTTTTCCATCAATAGGTTTTCGGAGAAGGAGAAACTGATTACTGCCGGTATTGCCCTGGAAGGAGATGCACTATCGTGGTTCCAATGGCAGAATCAGCGGCGACCTTTCATCACTTGGATTGATTTCAAGGGGGCTCTTTTACAACGTTTCCGTTCTTCGCAGGAGGGAAACTTATGTGAGCGTTTTTGGCGCAAAGGCAAACGAGTACAGTGGCTGAATATCGGCGAAATTTCGAGGTATCGGCTGCCCCGTTTCAAGAAGTGCCAGAGGCAATGCTAGAAGGCATTTTTGTGAATGGATTGAGGGCTGACATCCGGGCTGAATTGCGTTTACTTAGGCCAGAGGGGCTTTCCGAAATCATTGACATGGCGCAGCGAATTGAGGAGAAAAATTTGTTGTTGTGGAGGGAGATGGGAGGATCTCGGGTTTGGCGACCTCAAGCTGCGGGATTCATAGCCAATCCAACAGTGGGAACCACGGCAAACCAGCCCCAAAGCAGCTCTAGTGTCGAGAGGCCGAAGGACTTTCCATTTCGGAAATTGTCCGATTCGGAGTTACAAGAGAAGAGGAATAGGGGGCTATGTTTCCGTTGTGATGAAAAGTTTTCTGTCAGGCACCGTTGTAAAAAAAGGGAGTTGCAGATTATGTTAGTGTGCGATGAGGACGACTTTGAAAATGAGGAAATTGAGTTGGAGGAGGCAAAGGAGGAGTCCGAGGAGTTGCTATGAACTGAGGTGATTGAGTTGTCCTTGAACTCCGTAATGGGGTTGACGACACCAAAAACCATGAAGATAAAGGGGGAGATTGGTCATCGTGAGGTAATTGTTTTAATCGATTCCGGTGCTACACACAATTTTATTTCTCTTACATTAGTTTCGGAATTATCATTGCCTATAACTCCTACAACTAGTTTTGGTGTCCAAACGGGTACGGGGGAGTCGGTACAAGGGCTGGGATTGTGTAAAGAAGTAGTGTTGTCCATGCAAAACTTGACCATAATTGAGAATTTCTTGCTGCTGGAATTGGGGGGAATAGATGTAATTCTAGGAATGCAATGGCTTGAGACTTTAGAGAGTATGAATGTCAATTGGAAGACTCAAGTTATGAGATTCAAAGTGCATGGGGAGGGTGTAATGTTGAAGGGGGATGCGAGTCTTACGAGATCATTGGTTTCCCTTAAGGCCATGATGCGCACCATTCGTCATGAGGGACAGGGCATTTACTTGGAAATGAGTCATTTGCGGGTCGAGCAAGGTCACGGCAAGGTAGAGGAGGGCAATGAGCAGCTCCAGGAATTGTTGCGGAGACATGTTGCCGTTCTTAACATGTCAGCCGGTTTACCTCCTCACAGAGGAAGGACCACCGCATCATACTTGAGGATGGCACCGGTCCAATTAGTGTCCGACCGTACCGGTACCCTCATTTTCAAAAAAATGAAATAAAAAAGCTAGTAAGAAAAATGTTGGCGGCTGGAATTATACAGCCGAGTACGAGCCCTTTCTCCAGTCCGGTTTTGCTTGTCAAAAAGAAGGATGACAGTTGGAGATTTTGTGTGGATTATAGGGCACTAAACAAAGCCACGGTCCCGGATAAATTCCCAATTCCGGTGATAGAGGAGTTGTTAGATGAGTTGTGCGGAGCCACCATTTTCACCAAATTAGATTTGAAATCAGGATATCATCAAATTCGCATGTGTGACGAGGACGTTCCTAAGACTGCTTTTCGCACTCCGGAGGGTCACTATGAGTTCCTCGTTATGCCTTTCGGATTGACAAATGCACCGGCTACATTCCAGTCTTTAATGAATGAAGTATTAAAGCCGATCTTATGTCGCTTTGTGTTGGTCTTTTTTGATGACATCCTGATTTACAGCCGTTCTTGGGAGGAGCATTTGGAGCATTTGGACAAGGTCCTTTCGGTCTTGTAGGCCAACCAATTGTACGTCAATAAAAAAAATCTCTTCGCACAGGAGCAATTGGAATACTTAGGACATATTGTCTCTAGGGATGGTGTTTCCACGGATTCCAACAAGGTACAGGCTATGCTGGATTGGCCTGCTCCGGAGTCTATCAAGGAGTTGCGGGGATTCTTGGGCCTCACCCGTCGCTTTGTGGAGGGGAATGGACGCATTTCATGGCCGTTGACGCAACAACTTAAGAAGGACGCTTTTCAATGGAATGTTGAGGCCGAGGGTGCGTTTCAGCATTTGAAAAAAGCTATGACTGAGATTCCGATACTGGCCCTGCTTGATTTTTCTCAACCGTTTGTGGTGGAATCAGATGCTTTGGGGTTTGGTATATGAGCGGTTTTGATGTAACAGCAGTGCCCCATCGCTTATTTTAGCCAAGTTCTTTCGGCCCGCGGTCGCGCCAAATCGGTCTATGCGCGGGAATTAATGGCCATTGTGTTAGCCATTCAGAAGTGGTGACCTTATTTGTTGGGAAGATGTTTTGTGGTGCGCACTGATCAGAAAAGTTTAAAGTTTCTATTGGAACAGCGCTTGGTGATTGTGGAGCATCAGAGATGGCTATATAAATTGCTTGACTATGATTTTCAGATATCAATACAAGCCGGGTACGGAAAATAAAGTGGCTGATGCTCTTTCGCAGCTGCAAACGGACCTTGCTTTAATGGTCATGACCACGCCAATGGTGCTGGATATTGAGGAGTTGCAGCAACAGGTTAGGTTGGATTCCGAGCTCAGCAAAATTGTGAGATAGTTATTGGGTGGCGCTACCTCTGCCTATGCGTTTGTATAGCCGGTCCCAAGCCCGGGTAAAGGAGGAGGGTTGCGGTAGGTTAACGGCCAGCGTAAAAATAAGTCACTCTCATGGATTTCACTCACATAGAATATGTTGGGGCGTTCCCTACGTGCAACACATTATGCCGGGCCCCGGGTATAGTGTTAAATAGGCAAGGGGGGTCTTCGCACATTCATAGACGAGTGCGGGGGGAAAAGCGAGCCCATACGCCATGTCGGGCCCCGGATATGGTGAAAAATATACAAGGGGCAGAGCTAGCCCATGATAAGAAAATTCATTTAGGTAGTTGGAATGTAGGTTCTTTAACTGGTAAATTTATGGAGTTAGTAGATGTTATGGTAAAAAGAATAATTAACATTTTATGCTTACAAGAAACCAAGTGGACAGGAGAGAAAGCAAAGGAGATTGAAAATTTAGGACACACGTTATGGTATACAGGTTGGGAAAGGAACCGCAATGGAGTTGGTATTCTAGTGGACAAAACTGTGAAGGATGACGTAGTTGAGAGATAGGGGATAGAATTATTATGCTCAAACTGGTACTAGGAAATAAGTCCATCTATGTAATTAGTGCTTATGCTCCACAAATAGGATTGGATGCAGAAACTAAAGTCAAGTTCTGGGAAGACATGGATGACTTAGTGTGTCGTATAGGCAATGAGGATAGCATTTTCATTGGAGGAGATTTCAATGGGCATGTTGGTAAGGATAGGGAAAACTTCGAAAGGATCCATGGTAGTTTTGGTTTTGGAGCTCGAAACGAAGAAGGAAAATCTATTTTGAAATTTGCGTTGGGACATGATTTTATCATAACAAACACTTTTTTCAAGAAAAGAGATTCTCACTTGATAACTTTTAAGAATGTGAAGAACTCAAGCCAGATAGATTATTTTCTCACCAGGTATTAAGATCGTTCTCTATATAAGAATTGTAAAGTAATTCCTGGAGAAGTACTAGCCACCCAACATAGGTTAGTGATCTTAGATGTGAGCATTAAGCTTTGCTATAGAAGGATTAAGATAAACCACCCCCCACGAACTCGTTGGTGGCATTTGAAGGGAATAAAGCAATTGGCCTTTAAAGAGAAGTTGTTAGATGAGGCTACTTGGTCATATGTAGGTGATGTAAATACTATGTGGGATGCCATGGCCAGCTGCATTAGAAAAGTGGCAAAGGAGGTACTAGGGGAATCTAGAGGCAAAGGCCCCCCTGAGAAAGAAACCTGGTGGTGGAGTGAGGAAGTTCAAAAGGCTATTAGGACCAAGAGGGATTTATATAGAGATTTACCAAAGCGTAAGGATGTTGAAACTTTTAATAAGTACAAAGAAGCGAATAAAGAAGCTAAGCGAGCAGTTGGTAAGGCTTGTTCTACTTACTTAGATGATGCATATAGGAAACTTGGGACTAGAGAAGGAGAGAAGGATATATATAAACTAACTAAGATGAGAGAAAGAAAGTGTCAGGACCTAAATCAAGTGAGGTGTGTTAAGGATGACACGGATCAGGTTCTGACAAGAGATAAAGACATTAGGGAAAGGTAGAGGAGTTACTTTGAGAAGCTTTATAATGATGATCATGCGATAGAGTTTGACAATCTTAGGTCACAAGGAGAACCTAATGTGATGTATACAAGAGGAATCAGAGTCTCGGAAGTTAAAACTGTACTACGGAAGATGAAAAAGGGGAAGGCATGTGGGCCAGATGATATTTCAATAGAGGTTTGGATGGCGTTAGGAGATACTGGAATTATGTAGCTCAATAAGCTTTTTAATGAGATACTAAAAAGAAGCATATGCCTGATGCATGGAGAAAGAGTATTCTTGTCCCCATCTTCAAGAATAAAGGAGATGTGATTAATTGTAATAATTATAGGGGCATAAAGTTAATAAGCCACACTATGAAACTTTGGGATAGAGTTATCGAAAGAAGATTATGGGCCACAACTACCATCTCGGGTAACCAATTTGGCTTCATGCCAGGCAGATCAACCACGGAAGACATTTTTCTTCTTAGGATGCTGATGGAAAGGTACAAAGAAGCCAAGACGGACCTACATATGGTCTTTATAGATCTAGAAAAAGCCTATGATAGGGTGCCGAGGGAAGTTTTATGGTGGGTGCTAGAAAAGAGAGGAGTGCATGTGAGGTATATTAATGTAATTAAGGACATGTACGATGGGGTGGTCACGAGTGTGAGAACTGTTGGAGGCTACACGACAGAATTCCCCATTCGGATTGGCCTTCATAAGGATCTGCTCTTAGTCCTTATCTTTTCACCGTCGTGATGGATGGGCTGACAAGAGAAATCGAAGATAGAATTCCTTGGTGTATGCTTTTTACGGATGATATAGTTTTAGTTGATGGACATAGGAAAGGAGTTAACCGTAAGTCAAAACTGTGCAGACAGACTCTCGAGACGAAGGCATTTAAGTTAAGGATGACAAAAACTGAATACATGCATTGTAGGTTTAGTAACTCAAGTAATCAGAGTGATGAAATTTCTTTAAATGGTGTGGAGATTGGGGCTTCTAGGAAGTTTAGGTACCTTGGGTCTATAGTGCAGTACGAAAGAGATATAGAAGAGGATATTCAACATAGGATTAAGGCAGGGTGAGTTAAGTGAAAGAATGCGACGGGAGTTTTATGTGATGGTAAAATGCTTATTAAGTTGAAAGGAAAGTTCCATAGGACTGCAATCCGTCCAGCTATGTTGTATGGTAGTGAATGTTGGGCCATTAAGAGACAGCATATATCTAAGATGAGTGTGGTAGAATTGCGTATGTTAAGATGGATGAGTGGCCATACGAGAATGGATCGCATAAGAAATGAAGTTATTCGTAGTAAAGTAGGTGTAGCACCAATAAAAAATAAGGTGCATGAAGGCTGCTTGAGGTGGTTCGGGCATGTCCAACGTAGATCGTTAGAAGCACCAGTTCGTGTTTGGGAGGACATTCTTATACCTAATACTAGGAGAGGGAGGGGTAGACTAAGAATTACGTGGACCGAAGTCGTTAGAAAAGACATTCTAGATCTAGGCCTTCAGGAAAATTTAATTTCGAACAGAGCCGTATAGAAAAGTGAAATTCATATAGCCGACCCCAATTAAATTGGGATTAAGGCTTGTTGTTGTTGTTGTTGTGTAGTTATTGGGTGGCGCTCCTTTTTTGACGGGGTTCTCTCTTCAACGTGGGCACTTATTATACAAAGACCGGTTGGTCGTTCCTCCACACTCCCCTCTTATTCCAGTCTTGTTACGGGAGTTTCATAGTAGTAAAATTGGCGGCCATTCGGGGGTCTTCAAGACTTACAAGCGATTGGCAGCGGAGTTTTATTGGAAGGGTATGCGCAAGGATGTCGAGTTTTTTGTGGTTGCTTGTGCCGTCTACCAGCAACATAAGTCCACCTTGGCTCCTGCGGGTTTGCTGCAACCTGTGCCCGTACCCCATCGTGTGTGGGACGATATTTCCATGGATTTCATTGAAGGCTTACCTAAATCCGCTGGCTATAACTCCATCCTGGTTGTCATTGACCGTCTCAGCAAGTATGGTCACTTCATTGGCCTTAAACACCCGTTTTTGGCCAACACAGTGGCTGCTTCTTTTGTCCGTGACATAGTGCGCCTTCATGGTTTTCTGCGGAGTATAATTTCCGATTGAGACAAGGTTTTTATGAGCCACTTTTGGAAGGAACTTTTCCGCTTGCAGGGCTCCACTTTGTGTCGGAGTACGGCATATCACCCATAGACGGGTGGGCAAACGGAGGTCGTCAACCGCTGTTTGGAGGCCTACTTGCGTTGTTTTGTCTCTGGGCAAACTCGGCAATGGTTTACACACCTTCCGTGGGCGGAATATTGGTACAATACAAGCTTCCATGTTTCAGCTGCCATGACGCCTTTCAAAGCCCCTCTATGGACGGGATCCTCCGTGGTTGGTGCCCTATGAGGCCGGTTCTACAGCTACCTCGGAGTTAGAGTGGCAATTATGCGATCGAGATGCGCTTTTGGTTGAATTGAAAGACCATTTAGGGCGTGCTCAACAGTCTATGCGGGACCAAGCCAACAAGAAGCGCCGCTCCATGACGTTCGACGTGGGAGACATGGTTTACTTGAAACTCCAGCCGTATTGACATCGAGCATTGGCGCGTGTCGTAAATGAAAAAGCTTGCTCCTCGCTATTACGGGCCGTTTCAGATCCTTGCTCGCATTGGCCCAGTGGCGTACCGGTTGCAACTTCCTTCTCATGCTCGGATTCACCCGGTCTTTCATGTATCCCGCTTGAAGAAGGCACTAGGTTCTGTGGATATTCCTCAGTCTTTACCTCCAATCCTATCGGAAGATTTGACGTTGCATGTTGAACCCAACCAGGTCCTGGATACATGCTTCTCCCCTGCCACTGGTTCTTTGGAGGTTTTGATCAAATGGCGCCATCTTCCTGACTTTGAATCTTCATGGGAGCTGTATGAGGTGATTCAGCGCCAGTTTCCTGACTTCCACCTTGAGGACAAGGTGACTTTTTTGAGCGGGGGTGTAATTGATAAGCCCTTACTCAAGCAAGTGTACGTTAGGAGGAATAAAGGAGCTTAGGAAGGGGGTTCTGGGTTAGGGGGCTGCCTATAGCGTATTGTGGAAGTTGTTAGTATTAGTTAGTAGCTTACTAAGAAAGATTGTTAGAGGGAAAATGTATAAAAGGGGGCGAGAGGAATAGAAGGGGTATCGGGAAATAACCAGAGAGTTGTACAAATCTTGGAAAACATTCCAAATAAGGGGAGGAAGCAGACCCTCGAAGTTCTGTAGATTGGTGTATATGTGCAGACATTAATAAAGTTCCAAAGTTGATTCTTTTCTTCATTCTTTCAATCTTTTCTTTATTTTGTCCCAATCGGATCAGCTCTTATCAGATTTGTTTGTAGGATTTTGTTGGTCATTTCAAGGATACATTCTCCTCTAGTTTTGTACTTATTGCTTTGTTTCTCACTAAAGTTTCACCGTTTCTTATCCAAAAAAATAATAATAGCGCACACACACAGAGGGCAATGTGATTATGGGAATAAACATTCGGTGGTTGAACAATTTCTTCTGAGATCTTGATTTATTTGACGTCGATGCTCCTTGTATGTGCATGAGTCCGGTCTTTGTAGTATGTGAATTGCTAGTCTGCAGTTTTACACGTCTTTCTTTTGGGTTTTATGGGAATTTCATTGATGAATTTCTGGAAAACTAGAATGGAATATGAGCTTGAACAAACTGGTTTCCATCAACGCATATTTGTTTACTTTTACCTTGAAGACTAACATTAACAGTTGATTCTAGGTAAGAGTGGAAGGATCTGTTGAGAAAGTTTCTGATGAGGAATCTGAAAAATACTTCCACAGCCGCCCACGAGGCAGTCAGCTTGGAGCAATCGTTAGCAAGCAGGTTTGATTGTCAAACGATATTTTGCTTTAGGTTTTGCTCCAATTATACTCTGGAAGAAAAAAAAAATCCTGCTATATTCTTTGAAAGCTACGTGTGAAAAAGAGTGCAAAATAATCTTAATGAAGCAGTGGAGGATCAGTAACTATTTCTGTAGTATTTACATCTTTCACAGGTGTCATTCTTTATTTTCCGGTTTCTTCTTCTTCTTCTTCTTTGGGCACTTAAAATTGTGGACAGTAATTTATATCCTGGCTTCCTTCAGAGTACTGTGGTATCCGGAAGGAATGCTCTGCGTGAACTATACAAAAAGTTAGAGGAGAAATACTCCGGCGGGTAAGCCAATCTATGCCCAATACTTTGATGGGGCAACTAATGTTCAAGTCTTCAGGTTATTGATCCTAGCCTTTTGGCCCACGACTACCTCAATTTGCTGTGGGTTGTCCTTGCGGTTGCTTGCATTTGGTTTTACTTTTCTGTCACCACAATCTTCAATTAAACCTGATATCATATTAGGTCATTTTCTGCATGGAGACTATGCTCCCCATGTTCTCCTCAGTCCTCACCTAGCCCCTATCTCCTCTTTGTTATAATATAAAGAATAATGAATTGTTTCTATTGATGAATCCGAAATAATACTCTTTCTTTTCTTTTTTTTCTTTTTTTTTTTTTTTTTTGGTTGAGAAAATACTCTTTCCTTTCTATGTGCAGAAGTTTGATTCCTAAACCTGAAAACTGGGGAGGATACAGACTTAAGCCAGAGCTGTTTGAGTTTTGGCAAGGACAAACATCTCGCTTGCATGACAGGTGGTTGTTTTCAATTTTTTTTGCCATGTTATCTATTGGGCTGTACATTACCAATCATATTAGTGTTAGAATCATCAACCGCTACGTGTTGAGAAATTTTGCGAAGGTTTGTAATTTGTTTACATACTATTGAAATTTGATTTTTTAAAGTCAGGCAAATCCTGTTTACCGATTTTAAGCCGTAAATAATGTTGCAACTATGTAATCTAGGCGTCTAATTTTCCATCTGATTTATTGCTAGTAAGAACTGATTTTAAAAATAAATAGATGGCGCTATATACTATTAGATATCTTGTTTTATAGTGGGAAAAAACTATATGGATCAAATTGGCTTGCTTGGCATGCTTAGACATAATAGAGCGTTCAATAATGGTAAGATACAATTAAAATTTTTAGTTGTGAGATAATGCAAGAGTCAGGTTGACATATTTTATTCTGATCCTTGATTTAGATCTTAAACTTCGTATGATCTTTGTGCAGAACTGGTTGGTTGGGAACTGTAATCATGAGATTCAAATTGTGCCATTTGCATTTTGAATTTGTTAATTTAATTGTTTTCCAAAATTCTACACCATTGTGCCTTTTGCACGTATGACGTGATGAAATTTAAGTTCTGTACTCAGACTATTCCCTTACTTGTTTTATGAGGAGACAGGAAATCATTTTGTTATGGTGTAAAATAAAAATCTCATAGTAAGAAGAATGTGTTCCATATCTTGTATCGGTTTCTAAGTTCTGTATTTCTATTGAATTAGATACCTGCATGCACTGTCAATGAAAAAGTTAGCAAGTAATCTATGTTTTTGTGTCAGGTTGCGATACTCCCCTGAGGAGAGAAATGGGCAACGAGTATGGAGAATTGAACGCTTGGCACCATGACAATTATTTTCAGCATCTTCATTGTGAAGTTCGCTACTTAGGGTATAAACCAATTTATTTATTTTCATGTATAGTATAGGGGTGTCCATATAATGTGATGGAAAAGGAGATTGGTTTGTACAACTTTAATGGTCTCAGAGGCATGATAAGACTATTTTTTCTGTGGCCTTAGAGGAGCAAACTTTTGCAGCCAATATGTGTAAATCAATTGGATTAGGCACTAAAATAAGATTTGACAGTCTTACAAATGTCATTGTTTCCAAACATAATCATCACGATTATCTAAGGTCCTTTTTAGATGGTTGGGAGGAGGAAAAAATAAATAAATAAGCTTAAGGAATTATACTTATCACTCTTCAGAATCATATTAGTATAATGAAAAGATCTGAACTATTAGGATAAAACTCATTGAAACAGTGAATAGAAGTTCAAGCTTTCTTAGAACTGGCATCAACCTTGGATATTTGGTCTGGGTTTTAAAAACTTTTACATATCTGGAAATGCAAGATGAAAATCATGTTCCTGCTTTCGTGCTGGAATAGAAATATATATGGCAGACACCCAATTCTGTTCCCAAACATGCTGTTGATATTGAACATGAAACAAGTGTGTTTTAAGAGTAGTTTCCTAAATTCTAATTCATGTCATCCCAGATTTTTGCATAAAGTTGCTAATGTTGCGAATCTTTCAATTGTCTATGTTGCAGGGTGCGTACATACCGGTCTCCAGGTACAAGAGACGCGATGAAATTGGTACAGGTGAAGAGGAGAAAACGTATGTTATTGGATTAATGTTTTAAAAGCATTTCCAAGAACTTTGTTACATAATACTGCTACTGATGATGATAGTTATTTAGTGTTAATAACAATAAATCTGTCCTTTGTGAAACTTACTTTTCCTTGAAAAAAATCTGGTACGTATGGACATTTCCCCCTAGAAAAAGTATGGGACATCTTGTGCTAGCGAATATTAATATAAGATTTTTTTCCTTTTCTTTTTCCTATTCCTTTTTATTTGTTCATGATGTAATTATCCTCTCCCTTTAATAGTCAAGTCATGCCATTATGTTCTCCTCTAATCACTTCTAATCAGATTTTGCATCAACACAAGATGGCTTTTAGATAGATTTGTAGATATGCATCCCAGCTCAACTCAACAAGCCTTGTCCTCAATCTACTCAATCAAGTGCTATTTTGCTTTATAAGAACATAATGAATTCTCGTTTGTTGATGTTATGAACTTTCCTCTTGTCCCTTAGTTTTGCATGAGCTTGTAATCAACCCTTTTTAAGGCTCTTATTTTATCAAAGCTTTGACCAAAAGGTTTAATCTCTGGTGGGTATTATTGACCACAACCACCCTTTCTGATGAAGCTCTTGAATATGACATTTGGTTTGACTATAGTTCTGTGGTAGATTAGTTCCTTTATTAGTGGATTTCTATTGATTTGAACTTTTTGTGTTGTGTTTCAATTTCAAGATAGGGAAATTGATGTGTGCCCTCCTATCCTTTTCCAATGATGATATCTGTATGTTAACACATTAGAGTTGTTAAAAGATTCTTTACAATACACACACACACACATATATGCATTACTTGTACCAATTGGTGGATGAGGGCAATTGAAAACTCAACTCTATAGACTATAATCAATTGAGCAGATTTTTTAATGTACAAAAGGTGATTTAGAAAAGAAAGAACAATAAGAACATCCACAACAAAACATAAACAAAGGAGAGAGAAAATCTTCATGATAAAAAGTGAAGTTCCTTTGCTCCTCAGAATAGAATAAGCCCAGAACAATTTTGGAGGTTTCTTTTATGGCTGCTTCTGCTTCATGAGAATAACATTGATTAGATTCAGGAAGGTCATGCCGATCCTGACTAAGAAGGGCTCCACCAGGTTCTTTTTTTTTTTCCCCCCCTTTTTCTTTTCTTTTAATTTTTAGTTTCTAAAAATTAAAAATTAAAAAAAAATCCCTTCAAGGTTCTTTTGACCAGCGAAACTGAAAGCTGACGCTACTTTATTGAAAGGCCAATTTGATGCAAGGTGACAGCACCGCTGTCTTTTAAAAGTTGTGGGGGTTCTCTCTTCTTTATGAGTATGGAAATGTGAAGAACTTAGAGACTTTTTTAAGGACCTAAAGAAATTCAAAGACACTGTGCCCTTATGTTATATATATATATAAATGAGAGGAAAGATCCCAAGGACTGAACATAACTCCGGAGGTGGGGAAAATTTTTATAAGAGTTCTAAAGGAGAAATGATTAGAAGATTCCCTCCTCTCTCTTTCAAATCATGCAACTAAAAAGTTGTGTGGACCTCCCTTTCTTTGTGATATTTTCCCCTAAGTGGGCAAAGCTGTTTGATCAAACCCATGAGTTGTATGCATTTTGGAAAGACAAATATATTACGACTTCTCCTTAATGGATTCATTTTCAAGGCCATTGACCCCTTGGAAATTACAGTGTGTGTGTGTATATATATGAAACTCTGAAGCACCACTAATGAAGAAGGTTGACCAAAACTTGTTCTCTGTTTGCGGTGCAGAGTGGCCACGTTCTTAAAACTTGCTCAGATCATTTGGGATAGTTCTAACTTTTAGTTCCCAAAGATATTTTCCTCCTTTTGGTCCTTTCTTAATGTGCTCATTCAGACAATTTTTCAGCATCTTAGCAGTGCATTTTTAGTGAGATACTTAAAAGGTTACTATGTAATGAGCATCTAAAACTAGTCTAAATCTCTAATTACCAAAATGGTAAAAAATAAAAAATAAAAAACACTAATTTTCCCCCTATGTAAAGATTTGTGAGAAATGAATGGTTTTGATGATTAGGGAATGGAAAACCCGGATTGAATCAAGGAGGAGGTAGGAGTTAGTGCCCAAATAGCTTAAATCATGATTGGGGGAATGGTACAATTTCTTAGAGCTTTTTAAGGCGATGAAAAATCTTTCAATGCCTTTCGAAATTGTACAAAAACAAAAACATAAACATTCAAAGTGGGGTTCCATCTTATCTTCAAAAGGAAATTATGGTGTCCCTCAACAAACAGAAAAAATGAAGAGAGGGAAGGGAAGAGGAAGGGAAGGGACCCCCACATATCCAGAACATGTGAAGGGCACCTAGACACTCCCTTCTCAAAGGGCAGTTGTGACGTACATTTTTCTCTTTTAAACCTCCTTTAATAATCGTTTGCTTCCATGGCCTTTTGGATAGACTTGACGTGTTGAATATTTTAAGATTATTATCTTTCTTTTCTTTAAAAAAAAAAAAAAAAAAGATGGTGTTTTTTTTAGTGGAATTAAGGGGCATTAGTACCACTGTGTTTATGTGACAAAACGCATCATTAGCACAGCAACCCACCAAATTACAGTGTTTTATAGTGGCTGTTTGATAAAAGAAAACAAAATAATTTACTTTCTAATATCTTTGAAGAAACCTAGTGTAAAGATGAACTATGGTTAGTTATTAGTTATTATTCAAATATATGGTCAGTTATTACCTGTTTCTAACTATGAATTATCCTTAAGATTCATGCTTTTTTTGTCATGATCACTTAGACATTTAAAACACTATAGTAACAATTTTGTCACCATTCAATTGATTGAGAGTTATTTCTTTAAAAAAAAAAAAAAGTTTAAGTGTAGATTAGTTAGGAACCTCCTTTGCCAAACAACTTTTTTGAAATATTGGTAAATTAAAGCATACATTTGACTCAAGGGGAAGATGTCATTGGAAAATTTCTAGAGATATTCTCTCCTCACATGCTAATTCTTTCACATATTTTAACAATAATTGATGTACTTTATCCAAGTGGAGTCAAAAATTAGGTTTGTGTCAAATTCAACTTGGTTGTGGCTTTTGTACGAATATTGATCCATTGTTATCCCCACAATTACCAAACGAATCAGTTATATCTATGCATCTTTATTAGTTTCACGTTTTGCAAATGGGCAATGCTAGGTGTAGTTGTTTGACAAGTAACTTGGCTTTTTATTATTATTGTTATTATTATTATTATTTTGAATTATTGGTTTATTAATGTGCTTCATCACTTCAACCAATCATGCACTTCCATATCAACACACGAGATTCGTACATTATCACATAAGGATTACATAGACTTTCGCATAATATGTCAATCATCGTCACTATGATACTTATTTTTCTTTTTTTTTTTTTTCTTTTATTGTTGTTGTTATTATTATTATTATTATTTTACTTTAAAATAGAAGTAAGTTAATTGAAGTGGTGGTAGAGCATGAAAGAGCATAATTTAGTGGTTGACCTGGTGCTTAGTTCAGCCATGAATGTGCTTAATAGACAAAAGTGATACAGAAACCCAAACACTCTTTTTAATTACATGTGCTTATTTTTTTATTTATTTTGTTCACCACCACCCCCCACTACCAATGGCCTGAGGCAACCTCTGAAAATTGGTTGGATTTCGTCGTTTGTTACTTTGTAGTACGTTGGCTTCTGCTCTTTGCCTGCCCACAGTTTATTTATTATTATTATTTTATTATTATTTTTATTTTTATTTTTTTAAAAGGCAGCAAAGATAATAATCCTTATAATAAATGCATGATCATACTTTTGAAAGCTTCTGATAATTTAATATTTATGTAACAAAGCATTAATGTATGCCACCTCCCATGCCCGTACACGTGGCCCACACACTCAATGATCAGATGGTGGGCCATGACAGGACCCCTGAGAATGAGATGGGTCTTCACCCATCCAATCACGCCCCAAAGAAGCCCAACTTTTGTCATTGCCAAGAAAATATGCATTACATTAATTAATTAGGCTTATCATTAGTATTAAACAGATGTGGGGTGGCTCAGCCAACAGTATAATGCATGTGCCTAACTAAATAAATGAATGGGGTTCATGTCTGATGTCTCATTATAAAAATGTCTATGTTCTTTTAAATTTTTTATTTTTTATTTTTTCCCTTTTGCTAAGAAAAGGAAGAACTAGAAACTGTTCAGAGTCAAGAGTCAATAGACAGTGAAGTAAGAAGTCTATTAGGAAGGAATGGTCTCTCACTGGGCATGATTGTTGATTAGAGTTTGAGTTCCTTTTTTTGCTCGTAAAAAAAAAAAAGAAATTGAGATAAATACTCTTAAATTACACACACATATATATATATTTAATTCTATTCTTAATTAATATTATTTTAATTAAATATTATATTAATTAAAAGAGTATTAATTAAGAATAAAAAATAAAACTTTAGACACGTAAATTTTTAAAAATAAATTCAATAATTTTCTAAAAAAAAAAATTATGGTGTCCTCACCCAACAGTCACCTTGATAATCTATTGGTATGAAATAAAAAGGAATCTGATATATGCTCTTGTCAACTAATATTTAGGGAGTCTAAAATCACATCATCCCAAACTATATCCAGTTGATTTATGAGAGTCATAATTGCAATTTATTGAGATTGATGAAAATCGATCCACATATACTAAATGAGAGAGTTTTGATAAGTTGTCCTTCGCTGTTACTGTAAAACCACCACCACCTATGGCTGATTAGAGTTGAGTTTATTTAATACTTATTCAATTTGGTGGGAAATAGTAATTTATTTAGTAATTAAAAGAAAAAGGAACTAATTGATGGACTTATGAGTGCAGTAGGTCAGATAGGTCCGTCACTTCAGCTGGGTCGTTTAACGTATTGGACGACTGAGATTGAGAGGTACCTCAGCTCCTCCTCCTTACGTAAGGTCATTATCTTCATCTGTTTCTTTCCTGCTTTATCTTTCTTTCTATTTTATTTTATTTTATTTTTACTTTTTTTTTTTTCCTTTTACCTTTTATTTTCTGTGGAGAAAAAAGAATGGTACCACTAAAAAAGAAAAATGGAAAGGCAAACTGAGAAAGATATGTGTGTGCTGCATACATAATAATCAAAAGATAAGAAAAGCAAACGCTTACATTCTGATTTCTGTAGCAATGGTGATGCAATTGACTGTTCCCACCATGAGCAATATGGATAAGCTAAGATAAGCAAGTACATTGAAAAAAAAAATAAAAATAAAAAAACTCAAATGTTGTTTTCATTGTTACAGTTGAAAAATAGTCTTTTCTTATCCTTAACTGCTGGCCCTCATTGCAAGGCAAAACAAAGCCACTCAATTGACCTTGTCTCATGATTCATGAGAGAGAAAGGAAGGGGAGAGGAGTGAGCTTGGAAAGAGGGAAAGAGAGAGAAACACCCAACCCAAATTTCCAATTGCCAATGGGATGTTCAGTTGTTTCAACTTCAAATGCCCTAGAGGAAGAAAGTAAAGCCACATTTTGCCTCACATCACTTATTCAATTGCACAGTCAGATCCCACTTTGATGATAAGTTTGCTTTTACCATCCTGCCAGATAGAATACCAACAAAGAAGGCAGATATATTTCTCTTCTAATAATGAGAGAGAGAGAGAGAGAGACCAGTGAACTTGGCTGCTTTATAACGCAATCGCAGGGGGTATGACAAATCATCAAATTATAGGACCCACCCCCAACTATATACAAGTCAGAACAAGATCAATAATGGAGCTCAGCAGCTAATAGAACAGGTAAAAGCCCAGTTCTACCCATGCCAAATGCAATCCTGGACCTGTAATCTGGTACAAGCAAGCATGGTTTTCATATTGATAGAGATGATCAGAACCATTCATCCAACTTGTGAAACAAGGATTTCTCATGTGTGTGTGTGTGTGTGGTGGGGGGAATTGAAACACACACGATGAGACTTCCTGTAAAGTGTACTTCTTCAACACTTACACAAGCATCATTAATGGCTTGCCTCTCACTGTCAAGTTAATCACACCACATTCATAAGGAAAATGGGGCTCTAAAAAACAAATAAAAAAGGAAGGGCAAAGAGACAGTCCCACTAACTATATGGGTCTATGGTCCATGCATATTTTGGCATTTATTACCCATCTCACATTTTCTAACAATAGGAATAATAAATTCAACAGTCAGGTGCTAAAACAACACATCTGAAAAGAACAAACACTTAGAGAAAGAGAGAGAGAAAAGAGAAAGAGAGATGTATCAGTCTGCGCATTTAGTTCTCACCGGCTACAGCTTAAACTAACTACCATTTGAATCAAAATAGACGGACAAGTTCTCTCAAGAGTGGATACTTGCTTTCACTTGGACCTTCCTGAAGTTCCACTTCAAGACCATCTCCAGTTCTTTGACGACAGATAAAACAATATGATCTTCTCAAAAAACGAGATACAAAATCAAATCTTCGATGCAGGTAAGTTACCCCTCCCTTATCCTCTCCGGCAGACGTTGCTTATGATCAAATGAATATGAAACCAAAAAAGAAACATGAAATTTAGAAGCGTACAATACAACAATGGATGATCCGATACCAAGCAGAGACATTCATCCTCGACATTAGTCCCTTCCTCCGAGTCCTCCGGAAGAGCCAAAACAAAGAAACAGAAGCTGATTCTCTACAGTGCTCTTTTAGATGCCATTGCCACGTGCTTGCTCATGAATGTCACTGCTGAAATTCCAGCTCAAGAACAGAAGCTTTTGCCCATATTTTCTAACAGCCATTGCAGGAACCACTTGCGGGCTATATAAAAGTCACCCACTGCATTCACCTTCCCTGCAGGAAAAGTTTCTTAGTTTCTTGGCTAGTCACCGTGAGAAAACTGGAATCAACTGCTTCTACACAAACTCTTAAAGGATCTGAACAATCTTTGGAACATCATCCCTCGGTCCTTCAAGCGACCGGTACATGTATAGAATTTCAATCTCATCATCAACTATGTCCTCCTCATCTACTTCATTTCTAGTCATAACTTCCACCACCAAGCGGGGCAATGCTCTCGCAACCTCCCTACAACCTTGGTGGGTTAACTTACACGAAGACATCCAGAGAAACCTCATGTTGTAATAATGGTGCAAGCCCGAGTGCAGAGCCACATCTCCAAATGGGCTATCCCTGATCTCGAGCTTTTGCAGCTTAGGGCAGCCCTCTAGCATATATTTCAGCCCATTGTCGCTATCTCCAGCAAAAGCAACAGAGAGGGTACGGACTAATTTCCCGTATTGTCCAATGTAACTGAAAGCTCGATCAGTCAGCAAACCAGATACAGCAAGACGGGTCAGCTTCTTACAGTTCATAACAATTGCTCCAAATCCTTCATCCATAGGCTGACCTGTCAAATGATCCGGTCGGTGTCGACCCATTATACAGAGACGAAAAACAACCAGATCCGGGCAGTTCTTCGACATGGCTATTACTACTGCATTTGTCATGCGCTGGCAGAAGTACAGAATGGATTGCAGTTTTCTACAACCCTCAGAAATGGCTTGCAGCCCAACCTCAGAAACAGGCCCCTCTATATCCTCGCGAGCATCAACAGGAAAAACACGAAGCTCACGAAGCTCTTTGCAAGTTGCAGCTACGGCCTGCAGCCCTTCATCGCATATCGAATCAAGAGCCTGCACAAAGAGGAAAAACACAAGTAAGCATCTGAAAGGCCAATTTTCACAAATGTCAACAAGAACACCACAGTGAGTTTGGCACATACCCAGAAAGTTTGGAGCTTGTGGCAGTGGCATATGACCGGTTTCAGTTGTTCAGCATTGATATTGGCATAGCTAAAGTTCAAAGATGTGAGATTAGCACAAACAGGATAAATTGCAGGCAAGAGTTCAGGCAAGGTTTCTCTGAACCCCGAGAGACAAGTCAAAGATTTGCAAGCAGCAAACGCGGATGCATAGTCCGCTTCCTGCTCACCCTGAATCATGCCATCCGATGTGCTGAATGAGCCCGTCCCTAGATGCGTCAGCTGCGGAGCTCGAATCATCAGACGATAAAGCTGCCCGATCGAAACATACCGGTTTAATCTAAGCTTCTTCAAGGAAGGAGACCTAACCACAAGCCTCTCCAAAGCCTCAAAGTTTACGAGGCAATCCACACAATCAAAAATCAGAGATTCCAAACAGGTGTGACTCCCCGGGAAACAAGCTATCCAATCCACATCCTCGTCCATTACCTCAGATTCAATCAGATCAAGAACTCTAAGTTGTCTGCAAAAATTTCACCACAACATCTCTCAACAGTCGATTCCTCATTTCAGTTTCTCCATTTCCAAATCACACAATTCATTGCCAAAACGCAAAAGGCACAGATCGCTAAACAACACCAAAAGATAAAGCAGATCTAAAAAAGCGCCCTTCCCCAAACACTAACCAGATCACGAAAACCCTAGAAAATCCTTAGATCTACCACGACAAAAGATTAAAGCAAAATAGAAGATATTATCGGCGAAAACAATAAAGCTACGTACCGGCACTTGTTGGCAACGACGGCGAGTCCAGTGGTGCCGAAGCCGTCGCAGCAGACGAGGACAAGCTCCTTAAAGTTGGGGAATGACTCGGCGATGAGAACGAGGTCCTCGTCGGTGACGGACATGCGCTTTAGGTAAATCTTCTCCAGCCAAGGGTAAGCCTTGGCCATGGCGACCACCCAGGGAGCGAAGTGGGCCCCCCAGTTATGCGGCATGAGGTTAAAATCGGCGAATCTCGGCTTCCCCTTGATCGAGACGGAGCGGACCCTCGTGAAGCGCGCCGTCGTTCGCCGGGGAGACACGGCGTAGCAGTTACCGATGAAGAGCTCGGATCGGGTGAGGGCCTCCGCACGGTACCAAGACTTGCAGACCAATGAGGCGGCGCTCCGGTCCCGGCGAGACGTCAGGAAGCAAAGCACGTTCTCCAGAACGTTCTCGAGGACCTGGTCGGGGTACGGCGCGGGGAAGAGCTCAACGGAGGTGGAGCCACCGGAGCCGGAGGCGGTAATTCCGGTGGCCGCGGCATCCGACGGCGGAGATCGGTCGTCGTCCTCGGACATTTGATCTAGAAAATTGGATGAATGAGTGGATGGAATGATGGATGGATAATAGGGGGGATTTGGGAATCTATAAAAGGTAAAAATCTCTCCCTCTTTGTGTGCTTCAGATCAGAGTTATTAGAAGGAAGGGATTTGGGGAGGAGAGAGAAAGAGGGAGGGGGAAACTGGGGGGATTAGTAGTTTAATTGGGTCACGACTCACAAGAGAGAGTGAAACAGTAAGCTCTGCTGTCTGTGTCTCCCAGCATTGGGATTCTCCATCTCTCTCTCTCTTTCATCTGCAATATCCAATGGCTCCACACTTCTTCTCCATTATTTGCGGGGTTTTTTTTTTTTTTTTTTGCCCTTTACGAGCTTTTTTTAAATTATTTCTTTAATTTAATTTTTTTCCAATATTTAATAGAAAAGTTGTGGGTTTAACCAATCGTTTAGGATGTTTGTTATGTATCTGTCTTTAATTTTTAATTATAATTTATAATTTTTTATAGTATATTTTTTTTATAAAAAATTAAAATTATGAATCATAATTTTAAATTTATAAACTAAAGTTATTTGGTTGGGGGATTCGTCTCCTGATTTGAATCATGATTCGTGGTTCGCTACAGTATTTTTTCTCACAAAAAATATACGTAAATCGAAAATAATTTTAATCACATAATTTTAATTCATGAACCAAACGTCTCATAAATGGATATTCTCAACTTATTTTGTGAAATGTTGTAAATTCCTCCCTTTAACTTTCCCGAATTTGTACTTCATTGTACGTGTTTTTTTTTATTATTATTATTTCCTTTTCACAAATGGTGTATTTTTTTACCGCATCAAAGAATTCTTGCATATTAATAAAGCTCAAATAGTCTCGAAACAATTCTATTCATTTATTCATTAAATAGTACTAGCTTTCATCCATAACACTATTATGTTTAATATGATAGAAAAGAACAAGGAAAGAAGTGAGTGGAGAAATTATTGAGCGAAAAATAATAAAGTGAGTTGTTTGGTATGAAAGAATATATGAGGGAAAGAAAAATATAGTAGATACAAAAATGTTGAAAAAATAAAAAATTTATTTTAAGAGTGCATGATGACTAAAAGGGTTTGAAATCAGTATTTATCAAAATTACTTAAAATTGTTCTCTCTATGGGCCACTAATTTTTATCTCTCCAACATTATGTAAAAAACTTAAATCCATTTATTGATGACTAAAATAACTTTTATACCCTTATTTTTAAAGCTAAATGAATATTAAATAATTGGTAAAATAGTCAATTTAACTTATTATATATTTTCTTTTCTCTGACCGTACCATATCATACCAAATAATATAAAAGAAAATCAACTTCTATTTTTTCCTTCGTATTTTCTTTCTTTTATGTGTTTTCTATTATATTGTATTTCCCTCTAATCAATTAAAGTGTAGGTGATTATTTGTTGCTAACTTATATTTATAACCTAAAGTAAAATTGTAAAAAGAAATCATTCTAGTTTAAAGTCATAAATAACCAAAAGTTTAAATACAGTTTACTCTTTTTTTTTAGGCATAAAATGTCAAAATCGATTTTGTAAGATAAAACTTATTTTAAAAAAATAAAAACTTTTAATTAGTTGTAATTTCACTTACATCATAAGAGCATAAAATAACATACAATATAACCTCAATAAATTAAATAATATTTTTAGCCGGTCCCAACTTACATCGACGGAGTCAAAGCTAGAAGCCCCAACTCAAAATTTTTGTCCTTTTAAATCTTATATATATATATATATATATAATTAGGTATTTTATTATATTGGTATTAATAAGGCCTTACTAAAATTAATGTCATAATCCTATTTCCAAATTAAACGCCCAATATACACTCAATAATTAGGGGGAAAGAGTCAAATACCCCCTAAATATATAAATTTGAAATTTTACCTCTTATTCTTGATTAATATCTTTTTTAATCAAATAATTATATTAATCAAAGGGATATTAATTAAGAGTACACGGTAAAAATCTAGACTCATACACTCTAAGGGTAAATTCAACAATTTTCTCTAATAATTATGCAACATTTTGAGGGTATAAAAACTCATCGGGGACAATCGTAGTGTATTAATAGATATTTTGTTTTGATTAGATATTTATGTAGTTCTTAGCCCCCCAATAACATAAATTTCTGACTATGTCAATGCTGATTTGGACTAATATGGAAATTATTATTCGATTAAAAATTGATTAATAAATTTTCATGGTCTCAAGGTATTAATTTATAGAGGTTTAGTTGTATATTAAAAGAAAGAAGCACAAAAAAATATATTTTTTTCTAAAAGATTATAAAATATTCTAAGTTGGTTTGACCAGTTTTCGTAGTTGAAATAACTAAAATTGTTAATTAAACCAATAAAAACTTTCAAACCTATCGAACTTTGTCAGTTAAAAAACAATCGGTTCGGTTTGGTTTGATTTAGTTACTTCCCCAATTTGTTGATTTTTTTTTTTTTTACATAATCTCTAGCTTCCTTCCTTTTTTTTTTTTTCTAATGGGCTGAATTTGTGGAAAATTTTATAAGTTAAAATTTGTGAGCCCTTGAACTCCATTTTGTCGCAATTCACTACAAAGGGCTCTTCTCTAGCATCCATGTATATTAATGCCGATTTTCATCAAATCACACCTCCAATCCCATGCAACAATAAAATATCTAACATGGAGTTGACATTATATAATTTAAAGCCTAACATATGAGTTAAGTTTTGTGTTGATACTCTTTTTCACTTGGAAGAAAGAAACAGCTTCTGTTGAATGAAGAATCTAAGGTAGTTCATCATCCTTACAATAACATATACGTTTACGATATCGTTGTTTTTAGAGTTTAAGGCGTGTCTTTATTTAAGAACTTTAAGGCGCGCCTATTAACCTATTATGGAAAATAAAATAATAAGAATGAGGATGTTAATTCTCTTAAAATATATTTATTGATTAGATGATACAACAAGAACTAATCCAATTCATTTTTCGTATCTACTAAACTGATAAATAAGAATTTTATCAATGTAATTACTAAAATATCATTTTACTGGCCGTTATCGTTGTTCTATAATGATCTAGCTTATTAAAAGTAAGTAAATTTCAGGTTCATTTTCTTTCACTTGAAAGCAATACCAATATAATAAATCAATAAATAAAGCAATACCAAAATAAAAATTTTTAAAATTTTTTATATTGCGCACGAAACTCTAATTACTGATTTTTAAGTAAACACATAATTATATGAAGAAGAAAATCACTTTCTCCTTTCTTATTTTTCTTTTTATATAAAATAAACGCGTCTCAAAAATACTTTGTGCACATTCACAATTTAGTACAAACACATGCAAATCATTATTTTTTTCATGTTTGTAAGTGTGCTAATCTCTCCTTAAATCATAGTCTAAATAGTATGAGTTTGTGATATGTTGAAATTTCTTAAAGGCATGTGATATCTAGTTGATATATTTTTCTTACTTTCTAGTTTAATGAATGGTTCGATAGACATTAAACAACAACAAAAAGAATTACAGATTTTATTTTCGTAAATACCTAACTTATTAAAAATATCTATTTTAAAAAATTATACTCATTGATTAGTTTTAGTCTAAAAAATAAAAATATATAAACTAATATTAAGAGTTAAAAATAGAAATGAACTTCATTTTAAAGGGGTTTTTAAAAATTGCTGAAAAAAAAAAGACAATCTTATGGACCGACGAAAAATTTCCAAAAGAAAAAAAAGTATACGTTTTAAAACCAAAAGGGATAGAAATGTCAAATAACGAAACGCTGCGTGGTTGTTTCGATAATTAGACAAAACAGTGGGGCACATTCACGAGGATCCCCAATTAAGATAGTACACAACTGACAACACAACAAGTAGTAGACAAGGAGCTTTTTTCTCCACGCCTTTTCAAAGGAAAGTAAAATCACGGTCCAATAAAAAAGGAGTAAACTGTAACAGTTGTTAGTTACAAACTTACAGGACCTTCAGGACCAAAAAAAGGTTAAACCCACCAGAGCCCACACCACAGTCTGTTCCCGTATTTTCCACGCGCCCGCCAGCGCGTCACACCCTAACTTTTTTACTTTGCATCTCTCATCTCTCTAAGGTGAAGAGAGAGACGGATTTGTGATAGTTGATTCGATCAAAATCGCATTATAAAAGATACCTAGAATAAACAGTTCATAAATAGATAAATAAATAAATATAATGGTTAAAAAATAAAAATTTATTAAAAAATTTTTGAAAAAAAAATTAAAGAATATCATTTGATGAAAACGAAACCACTCTCTTGTATTAGTTTTTTTTTTTTTTTTTTTTTTTTTTTTTTTTTTGTGTTCGCAATATTGGCCATCAACTTTGCTGAGGTTAGCATCAGTTGTCCTTCTTGCTTGGATTTATTCTATCCACTTTTTTCTTCTTCTTTTTTTTTTTCTCGTCCTTTTCACTTGACAAGCAAATTTCAATTATACGTGTATAATTGCTTCCCTAAATAAGATAATACATTGATTTTTTAGTCAGATAAGCTCCACTCATTACCGATCTTAGTTTAAGAAGTTAATTTGCTTGGTTTTTATTTTCTGTTTTAAATCACTCCTATTAAGAACAGAGGAACAAAAAAAAAAAAAAAGGCATAGCAATGAATGGGCTATGAGCCTATTATCTCCAAAAGAACGGAGATGATTTCTTCAAGCAAAATTGTGGAAAAAATGAATCTACTTTTGTTGACCAAGTGATGTTTCTTGGTTAAATGTATCCAAATGCCTAGTGTGGATCTACCTACCCTTTTGGGTTTAATCAACTCCTTTCTCTATTATCTATTTGTTTTTTTGTTTCTTTTTGAGATGTAGGATTGTGTTCATTATATAGTGATACTCTTTCTTTTTCTTTTTCTTAAAAAAAAAGAAAAAATAAAAACTTGAAGAGTGTGTTTGGAACTTGTTCAATGATTTTTTTTTTGTATAAAAATAAAAATAAAAATATTTTTTATTTCAAACAGAAATTATTTTTAAAAATGTGTTCGGTAATTTTATCAAGAGATTATTTTTAATATAAAAAACCCATTAATGTCTCTCTCTCTGTTCGAGAGAAGAGAAAACGAAAACAAAAAATGAAAAATGACTAA